TTGAATGTACACCACTTACCTGACTTCTCAAAGCACTGCTGCGATTTAGAGGGCTAGCTGGCCAGCATCATCAGCATCAGCAGGACTTGAATTTGTAAACCATGCTGTCTATTTCGGTGTACAAGTTGGAGCACAGCTGGTGCTGTCTGGCCTCTCCCTGGCACAGTGCAAGACACCAACTCCGATCGCAGCAGGTTCCAGGACCGGCTCCTCGCCGCTGAAGCAACTTCACATACCTCATAGTCATAGGGTTTTTTAAGGCCAGCCGGCAGTGTCTTGCAAGAGCCCACATGTTTGCTTGTGGATGGGATCCTTATAAGTCGTGCATTTTGGGGTATCGTTTTTGGGCCTTGGGGGGGGCCTATCCTTTTACTAGTGTTTTGTTCTTGTCAGGATACTTTTATCTCGGCCTGACCCTGGCTCCTACACGATAACAAAGGTGGTCGCTCATACGGCAGTTTCAATAAGACAAGTGCTGGATGGCAACGCCTCTACATCCCGAAGTGTAGACTCACCATCAAACTGCGGACCTCAACCAGAGCATAATCGTAAAGGCAATCTCAGAGCACGTCCTTGAGCAGGAAAGCAAGGGGTGTACAGCCTCCGCTTCAGCCTGGGCAAGGCATAAAATCCAGAGACTCCTCACCCATGGCAGCAAGAACAAAGAAGCCTGAAACAACAGCAACGGCATGGCACTTGCATTCTTCCTCGTAGCAGTAGGCAAATTGCCAATGGTCATTCCAATCATAGCCATCAGGCGGCAACATGTAAGTTTCAATCACAGGCGGTAGTCATTATGACCAACTTGCCCCTTCAAATCATTGCTCAATGCTATCATTTCTACCTTTCCAGGCCAGTTCTCTCTGGCCTCCATGGGATTTGCATCCAGCCTCTGGAGGGCTCCATGAAGTAGTCAGACCGGCTTGGCGGCTTTTTGTGCCATGTGTCAATGAGATTGCCTTTGTGCATGCATTTGCATGGGTTGTGCGTGCCTGTCATGGTCTTCTCACGGCTCCCGTTGTGTCCTCATGGCCTCATGGTTCTTGAGCCTGGAGATATGCGCTGGCATTGAGAGACCTTCAGAGACCAAACCTTCTGTTGCTGAAGCAAAGAAGCACCTAAGTTGAAGCGTGTTTCTCTGCGCGACAGTCTGGGAAGCTATGTCCAGCAAGTGCGCTCTGCTTATGCCGTTTTGGCGCACCGGAACCCGACGGCAAGTTCACTGTCCAGTGCAAAGTGTCTAGACCTTTTCGTAGTCGAGCTTTCCTTCCAGCTTCTTGTTGTCCGCCTTGAATTACATGCCCATAGCTGTATGGCAAGTCAAGGCTTGGGCCAGCATGGCCAGCACTGCCAGCTTGGGGCTGGGCAATTTTCCTTGCGGCCTGGCAAAGGCACAGTGCAGTCGAGCATGAACACTTAACAAGTCTGGCGGCGCCCGCTTCTACGTCGTTGGCAACGCGATCATTTGCTACTGCGCGCTTGGAGTCTAGATAGTTTAGATGGGTAGACCATGTGCCTTCATGAAGTCTTCCTCCACCACATAGTCCCTCTCTGCACGGATGGCAAACATGCCAGCCTGGAATGGCAGGCGCTCAGACCCTAAGCCAAGCAAAATCAAGAATCTGGCCTCGGTGCAGATATTACGCATGTCCGCATTGTTGAAGTTGTCCGTCAACTTGCAGATGGCTTCGTAGTCAATATCCCCGTGCTTTGTGATGGGATTTGCGTGGATCTTGAGCACCTGGCAGAGTTTTGAGAACCTCAAATCACCGACTCGGAGCCTCTGCGAAAAAAGAGGCCTTGCCTCGATTCGGGCCTGCTCGTTCGGCAGCGGAATCTCGATCTGAGCGCGTGAGAATCTAGGAATCTCAGCCAGATCTTTTTTGGAGACGACCTTTTGTTGGCCCCACCTTGCGATCCAAGCGCCCAGGCCGAAGCAGTGCCGGGTCCAAGGTGTCGGGCCGGTTTGTGGCCTTGGCGGCGGAGAAAAATGCCGAGAGCCGGCAGCCATGGCATTGTATGGCAGCTCATAGGATGAGGAACTGTATTTGTCAAGTACATGTAAGATTCAACTGCATACCTCTGCTAATGCAGAGCTATTCTCAGGTCTGGACCATAATGATCTTCACCCGCCCCAGATCATCAAAGCCGTCAAGCTGATTCAGCAACTCCTGAGCCCAGCACACGGGGCTGGGATTTTGTTCAGAGCTGCATTGGACAAATGCTTACTCGTCTCTGCGAGTGGAATTGAGCTTGGTTCCATCAAGGTCCGCTGGATCTCTCTGTCCGCAGAAGTGCCTTGAGAGAATCTCTTTCCGCCAATGGCGTCAATCCTTTGCACGATGGCAGGCAAAAGCTTCGTGTCATTGCAGTGACTACGGCTGTGGCGACAAGCAGTTGTTACCACATGTACCAGAAAAAGGCGTGTGAGCCATGTGCTGCTTGGCTTCTCATCCATGAATATGATGCAGGGCTGATGCTCTTTTGCATAGCCAAACATCTCGCGGATGATGCGGGCGGACTCGCCGATGTACTTGTCCACAATTGCTGAGGCCACCACCTGATGGAGCTCTGTGTTTAATCCGGGTTCCGTTTGGCTTAAAGCGAGTCAACTGGATACGCGCCTACACAGAGGAAACGGACGATGCATGCAAAACGCACACGTACATATACATACAGACGTGTTAACACAAAGCATACCACCTAGTGATCTTACATCTATTATGCGCTGTTCTGCATTCTTCATTTGATGCGCCTGGCCTTGATGAAGCTTGCGGTCATGTTGTGCGCCATAGCCCGGGCCAGTAGCGTCTTGCCAGTTCCTGGCGGTCCGTAGAGCAGCACGCCCTTGGGGGACTTGATCCCCACCTTGGAGGCAGATCGGTTTCAGCTTGGGAATATGTCTGACGAGCCTTTCAAGATACTTTGTAGGGCTGTTTTGGGGCTCTGCAGCCATCAAGAGAACGAGCGACATGCAAGCCTATGCTTTGACGCATGCACCAATCACCATCTGAAAAACAGGTTGGGGCAGCCAACTGCACTCAAACCTGAAAGCTTATCTTGCTATTCAGTTTGGAACCAAGATAGTCCAGCTGACCTCCCATGTCTGGGCTGGCCACCCTCTTGAAGAGCTCTGGGTTGGTCAGAGGGAGCTCGATGACCTCCCGCATCTGCCTTGCTTGCTTGATTTCGTCACAGATGTCAACTACACTCCTCATTCTTTCGCTGCTTCACTCATAGCAGCTTGCCTGATCTGCTCGGTGAGGCCACCCACATCACTGTATGAGATTCGCCCTGGGTCCTCAGGAGAGGCGACACAGAATGCTGACATTGAGAATCTACTAGCTACTAGCTACACAAGAAAACAAGAGCAAGCACATTGAGCTGACAACCCGGCCTCATGCAGCATGCTGAAGACCATGGGGTCCACTTCTCTGGGAAGCAAGCGCATGATAGTCAGTGTGGTCATGTCCAGTGAGACGCGGCTTCCTCGAAATACGACAGGTTCTGGCTGAGCCTGAAAAAGAAAAGTTGCAGTCCTGAAACGAGCTTGCTTTTGTCAAGCTTGACCTGTCGCGAAGGGCGCTTGAAACTACTTAAAGCTTTCTGTGGGCCCAGCCTTGCATGTAACAACGTAACGCGGGCCACTGGAGGCTTTCACAATGAAGCGCTCCGCATCTAGTTGGCGCAGCACCTCTGCTCCAGAAAGGAGCACAGCACAGACGCACAGCCTTGCAAGCAACCGCCAGCCTCGCCAATGATCTGCCCAACACTCTGCAGGGCCTTCAGGTGATCCTGCCAAACAACGAGAATGCGAATGTGTCACGGTCCTCGCTGTAGAGCTGATGTGCCCTCCTCTGACTTGTCGTAGTCAACGCTGTTCTTCTTGACCGTTTCGCGCAGCTTCTTCACGCGCGACTCGAATTCACGGTGCTCCTGCACCTTTGCCACGTAGCGCTTCAGCGCCTGAGCAAGGGGCACGCCTGAAAAGTGCTGCCTGCAGCGATCAAACGAAGTGAGCCTGGTCTTGTTCGCTGCCCTGCGTCTCGGAAGCCATTTGAGCCAAAGTGTCTGCCAAACGCAACCTGAAATAACATAAGCTCCTTGGATTCAGCTGTGGTGCAGTGCAAATATTGAACAAAGCACGCTGCAGAGGCGCTCCACATTCTGGTCCAACTCCCATGCCAGGATCTGCAGCGTCCAGCGCAGGATCCACGAACCCGAATGCAGACACTGACACGTACACCGCTATCATAATAACACCCCAGTCGCGAAACCAATCAGGATACTTAGGCGCGGGTCATCCTCTCTCCTCTTTCCTCTCCTGTCCTCGCTTCTCTCTCCTCTCCGCTCTCTTCTCACCTCTCTCCTCTCCTCTCTCTTCTTTTCTCTCTCCTCTCCTCCCTCTCGTCTCTCCTCTATCCTCGCTCCTCTTCTCTCTCTCTCTCGCCTCTCCTCTCTTCTCTCTTCTCTCCTCTCTATTCTCTTCTCTCTCCTCTCCTCTCTCTTCTCTCTTGCTCTCTTCTCCTCTCTCCTCTCCTCTCCTCTCTCCTCTCTTCTGCGTTTCGCGACCACGACCCTCCCAATCCCTGTGACAGTTGCCACTTTTGAGACGCGAAGACGCAACGCAAATCCAAAAGTGACGACAGTTCTGCGTTTCACGACCACGACCGGACGACCCCCCCGATCCCTGGAGACCGTTGACACTTTTGAAACGCGAAGACCAAACGCGAGTCCAAAAGTGACGACAGTTCTGCGCTTCACGACGATTTCGGCCGCGGCCGCTTGCAGACGCTTGCGAACACACGGCGAACGTTGCGCACGGATTTCGCGTCAACTCCCAACCCCCAGAACCCCCAACCTCAAAACGAGAACCCTTCTTCTGCGCATTCGGGAAAATGCCTGCGCATCGCGTAGGGCCGCCGTGACCGCCCCAGCTGAGACCATGGCGTATCCGAAAAAATAACGCTGAAACTGAAGGTGAGAATCGCCAATCTAGTTAGTCACATATAGAGTATCTCAAAAGTACTATCCAGTCATTAGGCAACAACAGCGGGCCTGCAAGCAGTACCTACAAGACATGCGCGAAACGTACACTGTTTCGGGCCAAAGTTTAAGGGTTTAGGGTGTAATGTTTAGGGTTTAGGGACTGGTGTTTACAGTTTAGAGTTTGGTGTTTAGATTTTGCCAACAATGAACATGCATACACCAGCACACCGTCGCTACAAACCCAGATTGGGCAGCACACGGCGTCAATGGACTGTTTACACCATTAGAGCTTATAGGGCTTAGGGTTTATGGTTTAGGGTTTTGGTTTAGGGTGTCGGGTTAAGGCTTAACACTTCTGCGCTTCGCGACCACGACCCCCCTGGATCCTTGAGACTGTTGACACTTTTGAGACGCGAAGACCAAACGCGAGTCCAACAGTGACGACAATTCTGCGTTCGCGACCACGACCCGACGACCCCCCCGAGCCCTGAGACCGTTGTGGCGCGGAGACCAAATGCGAGTCCAAAAGTGACGACAGTTCTGCGTTTCGCGACCACGACCCGACAACCCCCCGATCCCTGTGACTTATGACACTGTTGAGACGCGAAGACGCAACGCAAGTCCAAAAGACAGTTCTGCGTTTCGCGACCACGACCCGACGACCCCCCCGATCTCTGAGACCGTTGACACTTTTGAGACGCGAAGACCAAACGCGAGTCCAAAAGTGACGACAGTTCTGCGTTTCGCGGCCACGACCCGACGACCCCCCCGATCCCTGAAGACCGTTGACACTTTTGAGACGCGAAGACCAAACGCGCGTCCAAAAGTGACGACTGTTCTGCGTTTTGCGACCACGACCCGACAACCTCCCCGATCCCTGAGACCGTTGACACTTTTGAGACGCGAAGACCCAACGCGAATCCAAAAGCGACGACAGTTCTGCGTTTCGCGACGACTTTCGGCCGCGGACGCTTGCGAACACACGGCGGACGCTTGCGCGGACGCTTGCGGACACACTGCGGACGCTTGCGAACACACGCCGAACGCTTGCGAACGCTCTGCACGGATTCCGCGTCAACTCCCAACCCCCAGACCCCGAACCTCAATACGAGAACCCTTCTGCTGCGCATTCGGGGAAAAAATCAAAATGCAGCGCCAACTGCACATTTTCCAAAGCAAAGGATCGTAGAAACATTGTGTTCTACCGCCCATAGCGATGATACCTGCACCTGTACAATCCTCAGATCACAGAGAATCTTCATGGCAACAGCCAGAGTGTCAGGGCATCCTTGCAGAAAGGCTTTGACCCTCACTGGAGCACCACCCCAAAACGGCACAAGGCAGGAGCACTTAGCTAATCCGTCCTTCGAAGGAATAGGATCGACCTTGGTGCCCAGCTTGATTTTCGGGAACAATCCCCATCCTGGAGTCATAGGTCTTCAAGTATTCTTCAATGCCAGCAATGCAGAGGTGTTGCATGCTGGGGAATGCGCGCTAGCAACTGAGCATTGGGCCCAACATTATGAAGGCTTGTCGCCCATGCTAGCCTTAGAACACATGGTGGTCCGCGCAGACTTTGCACACACGGCACAGCTTGGAGCTTTGCTCCAGGCGAGGAGACTCCATGCCAGACCCGCTCTGTAGGATTGAATTCAAATGGCTGAGGCAGAGCTCATCGTGGTACTCTCAACTTCCTCTGCAGGCCACGCACTGGAGATCGCTGAAACATGAAGCTTGCGCATCCAAAGTCCCAAGCAGACAGACTTCCTCACGCCTCACGTTTTCTTCCAACCCCAAATGCCTTTCCTGTACAGACCTGCCAAGACAGCTTGGGCTGGAGATGGATGCTCTCAGATCCAACATTGTGATGGTGATGGGAGAGCCCACCACAAGTCAGGAATGACGACAGCGCCCCTATGGGGCATAACGAATTTGGAAAGGAACGCAATAGCCCTTAAGCTCATCGACATTTCGCCTTCTTCTGCAGCTGCTTGGTCTTCATGACAACTTGGAGCATGAGCCTTGAGGCATCCTGGGTCATCTTGGCCACGGCCTCCTCAGACTCCTCCATCCTTTTCCGGGTGGCAATGAGATCATTCTCCTCCTTGTCCATGTCATTCATGTAGCGCTCCAGGAGAGACCCTGTCCGAACATGTTCCATGGACTTGATGTTCTCCCGCAGGCGCCTCAAGGTCCCCAAGTCCCTTCTCTGACAAGAGCAGGAGCAAGCAACAGCAAGCGCTAAGTTGAGCTGGGACACATCTGGTTCTCGAAGATCTTGTTCACGCGGCCGCTGTCCAGGCTCTGCTTGCGCTGGATCTCCAGAATCTCGGCATCCTTCCGCTGCAGTTCCCGAGTCTGGGCCCTTGGTCGCAAAGTGTCGCAAGGTTCTGCTGAGGACCAGAGACGAACTATGATTGGCTCCTTTATTTCTGGGGGGCTGCAGGCTGTAGCTTTGAGGATGACTCATGCCAACAGAAACCTCATGATAGTGGTCGTCGTCATCCTCAAAATGGGTGCAGGAATCGCAATAGTAGAAGAGGATATGTGCATGTATACATACATGTACATCTAATTTACTGGCAATGAAAATGCTAAGCCTGCAGCAGCAGAAGCAATCGATTGGCTGGCCAAGACGCAGGATCTCGCGAACGTCCGTCGCGAAGCCCTCTGGATCTTCACACGGCTCCTTAGCTCTGGTGTGCTGGTGCAGAGAAGAACTGGCATACCGAATGTCATCCACAGCAGCTCCCCTAAGCCCTATCCCTACACCTCGTGTTCCTGGCAGTCAAGGCTCATCCAGAGCCCAGGGGACGTCGCGCTGCTCCCAGCTGAGCAGCTGCTCCTCGGAAACTCCCCGGGGCTGCAGAAGAACCTGGCTTTGGAGGCTTTGCAGGGCTTTAGTGACTTTAGTGGCTTAGGGTTGCGGCTCGCGTCGCCGGCTTCTGAGAGTCAGGAAACTTCAAGAGCGAAACTTGAGGAGTCTGCAACCTTTGCTGTCGGGTCCGAGATGCCGCGATGTTGCTAGAACCTGAAATTAAGAAGCCAGCATTGTCACATCCAGTTCATTCTAACTCTATGGTCCTAAGCAGCATGATCGTCAATCCTGAAGGATGCAGAGCCCTGGCCTAGCCAAATAATGCAGTCCTGATAATATACTGCTGACCCAACAAGCCCATGATTTTGAGAATCACCTCAATAATGATCCCCAGTTTGTAAACTCATGCGCCTGGAGCATGGAGGCCAATCGCAGCTGGCCCAGACTCTGCTTCAGAGCTCGCAAGCATTCCTCGCTGGCTTGCAGGGAATCAAGGAAACCTGCAACCAGTGTGGTTCCTTAGTATATAGGCTTAACGTGTTGCGTGAATGTCTGTATCTATTCATATATACACATATGTATATACACATACTCTATACAGCATAGTTTTTCATGTCTGGTTCACGGCTGTGGGATGCGGTAGGACTGGGGGCTTTTGATAACACTTCTTGGCATCACTATGCTAACCAACAGCAAGATTCCGCGCTGAGGACGCCGTCATCCTGCAAGCGTCGTGCCCGGGTTGTGAGGAACCTGAACGGAAGAAACAGAGCGTGTCTCCAAACAGGTGTAGAACTCTCCTAAAACCTGCATGAGCTCAACATGTCGCACGAATTACCCACCTCAAGCACACACTTCTGTATCCTGAAAGCGGTTCAGCGGCTTTGAGATGCTGGCAGCAGTTGCAGGGATGCTCTCCTCATAGTTGGCCTCCTCCGCAACCTCCAGCACAGGATACAGTCGTCTTTACGCAATTGCCATAGATAAAAACCCTAAACTTATGGCATAGTCCACAGCTCCCTTGCTTTTCCATCTACTTACAAAGAATCCTACAATCGTTGCCCCACCCCCCCTCCTCCCCCCCCAACCCCGCCGCCCCGGAACACCCAACATCATACAGGACAGCCACAGGAACGACCATCAACCTGCCCCGCCCGTTCCCTTACACAACCTCTACGTATCTCTCTCTGGAAAGCCCAAAAAATCTATGTCGGCTTCATGTGTGGGGAGAATTTTCATTGGGCACCTCCAGCGCGAGCTCGGCCTCCGGGTTTACGGAGAGGCAGAATCGAGCCCATCCGGTGGTCCTCGGCGAGTCTTAAGATTATTTAGGGCGTTTACGAAAACTAGGGTTCCTGTTGGGGGAGTCTCTATCAATCGGCTCTTTGTTTTTCGGGTTTCTAGTGGGCACAGCTGATTGGCTGAGGAGTCGGCCTTGCTCTGCACACTGGCCGAAGGCGGTCTCGCGTTAGCGATTAAACTATATTCGGGCTTACATTGGAGCCCCTTTTGGTGGAACCCGTAGGTAGGCGTAGCACTAACTTCAGAAATCTTGTCTGCAAGAGTAATCACAGGGGACTACAGGATGGGCACAGGATGGGCTCTTCTAGGTTTCAGAGAGATTGCACTTCAGATGGGTGGATGCAAAACAGGAAACCTGGTGCGGTCTATCAGGCAGTTCCGCCGTCCAGTCATGTGATAGAAGAACCCTGATATCCAGAAGACACATACTTTTGTGGGAGTTTGTCGTCCAACAGTGAACAATGCAAGATTAGAAAGCTATCTCTTGCCCGGATTCTGCTTGACGCGGTGTTCAGTAGATGTGATGGAGAAGCCTCCGCAGTCTGTGCGGGCAGTGTGCTCGATGTACAAGCAGGGAGCGCCGCGACTCCCGTTGTTCTTGATGCTGTAGCGAGTGGTCACACAGTTGCGGTGCTCAAGGACGACTTTACTCAGTTGCCCGTGCTCGTCCCTGTCCAAGCGAGTTCGCACCACGCAGTCCTCGCACATGTAGCAGCGTAGCAATACTTGCAATAACAGCAATTACAAGTGCAATAACAGCAGACGCGCAAATTCTGGTGCTAGGAAAACTCCTGCTGCAGCTCAGATGGCTTGGATCGTGTCACTGAGAGCGTTGTGTCCTGGCAAACCACAAAGACAGATCACACGCAATCATCACTGCCTTGCTCAGAGTTCGCGCGTGGTTTGCACAAGAGTGAGCGTGCACCAATGTCAACAGCATCAAGAATATCTCAGTGTGATCCTACACAATCCTGGCCGGCGGTAAGGTCTTAACTAGAACCCCGAAACCCTGCCCTGAAGATAGAAGATTAAACCCTGATCCATGGATGTAGTCCATAGACACGAGCCCGTAAACCCTAATTGCCCTTATTCCCACAACTTCTACAGCTTCATCCTCGCCCAGAGCGAAGAGTTGATCATCACCAGGAATCATGGGGGCAAACTGGCATTGCGCAACAAAGCCTGGGGCATTCATCTAGAAGCCTGCTGGGGTTCAGGATTCTGTCAGAGCCAACGAGTATCTTTTGCCGTGAGGTCGTTTTCAATCTTATGCTATGCTGAAATTTCAGAGCCAGGCAAGCATATAACAACACTTGTTGAATTCAGCGATGCAGAAACGGCCACCGTCCAAGACGTTGACGCTTCCGTTTGCGAGCACGTGGCCGGAGGTGTTCACCTTGGTTAAAGAAGTGCCTCAAACATGGCCTCACCCGTGTGCTGTTTCCCTTTCCCTTTCAAGGCTGGGGAGAAACAACAAAGGTTTTTGCTGGTACTTTTTCCCGTTTGCCACGTGCAAGGCTCGCTTCACACAGACCTCGGACTCCTTAGGGTCGTAGACGAGGACTCGGTCTCCTTTGATACCATGCTGGAAGATGGGCACGATGGCCGTCTCCTTGGAGTGGATGGTCACCTCGGTTCTCTGCTTGTAGACTTCAGCCTGGGCACGACCCTTAACCCTAGCTGATACTCCAAGAGGGGCCTTGTCTCGAACGTGGTAGAGAACATGCTCAGCCAAGCCCTTGGTCGCGAGGCCCTCCAGGCAGAATGCTCATTTTGGACTCCCCTCATTTTGGGACAATGCATGCCTCAAGGGACTCGAAGGCATCCTTCCCAGGCTCGGAGGACGCATCGCCCCGGAGGCGCAGCACGAGGTGCAGCGTGCTCTCCTTCTGAATGTTGTAATCTGCGAGCCTTACTGCAATATTGTATATAGGGATTATGTAGGGATTATATCTATATTCCCCTCTTCGTAGTACCCATGTACCAATTTGTCACATTAGTTGATATTATGTGTTATATGGGGAATCATGGAAAAGAGCATGAAAGGTACCATATTGAATCTGCCAGCCGGAAGGGATCTTCCAGCTGCTTCCCTGCGAAGATGAGGCGCTGCTGATCCGGCGGGATGCCTTCCTCGCTCAGTTTCAGCAATAAGTAGAATGTAGAAAATATCTTGCTGTAGGATATTCAAATATGCAAGCTCACATAGAGTATCCTTTACTGTACTACTCCACACTGCAAATTCGAGGTCTTAGAGTCTCCTTGTCTTGTATCTTACTCTTCACCATATCCACGCGGTCGCTGGGGTCAACCTGCAAGGTCACGGTCTTGCCCGTGAGCGTCTTGATGAAGATCTGCATGCCCCCTCTTGACTCACTGACAATTTTAGCCAGCTCCTGTCCTGGAATGAGGCTGGGAAGCGAATGAGCAAGCAGAATGACCGTATCATAGTGTATCAGAATTCAGCTTGTTTCCCATGAAATGCAGGCATCGTATCCAGATTCTACGGGATTCGAGGACTGCAAATCATGGTCCCGTGCTGTCAAGAGGCTGGCAGGCTCGGTGCCAAGGGTCAAGATCGAAAGCTCATTGGCAACCAATGCCAGTTCCTGCACGGATGCGATCCCTACTGGCCTTACTGGATTATTACTCATACTCGAAACCCCTCGATCCGTGGTAAGGTCAACTTGACTGCGGCAAAGGTGCCACGTCAACCCAATGGTCGTCAGTGCTGTTCCGGACATGGCCAAAGGTGTGCAGCATCACGCAAGGGTCTTCGTCCATATCCTCGCTTACCAGCACCGCGTCGGCCTCGAAAGTGAGGATGGCTTAAACAGATGAAAACGGAGTCCTTCAGGATGCTGGGGACGTGATAGCTGGCTAAGCCCTTGCCCATTTTGGGCACAAACAGAGAACTGACCAGATTCAAACCCGGTCATGAGCCTTTCTCGTAATGGCATTTAATTGATGTTTGAAGACGTGCTCAACTGAGCTACGAGGGCATTTTCTGAAATGGGGGTTCCCGAAATAAGGGGTCCCTCTAAAGGGCTAATAGGGCAATACAGGGGGTATATAGGGGCATGTGCATGGATATATTAGGATAAACAAGGTTTAGGACAATTTGGGGAAACTTGACATTAAACATTATCCGAAACAGTACCCATTAAAGCGGGTGGGGAATCTTTGCTGGACTCCCTCTTGCCGGATTGTTGGGTCCTTGGTTTATATACGGGGTTAAATAAAGCAATCAGTAGTTTCGGCCTTTATGACGTCTCCGAGCTTTGGGCTCTCAGAGGGAAGGCCTTTAAGATAAGAAGGGCCAGCCTTTAAGGCAAGAGGCTCAGGTCGCGGGCTTTGAATTTCAAGTCTCTCTCTGTTCTTCTTCTTTTTGTATGCGCTATACATATCCTGGCGATCCTGTTCTTCTTCTTCATCTTCTACTGGCTATGCCAACCCACTAAAGGGCTGGCTGGGCCTATGCCCCATAGCTGCGCACAGGTTCGTTTTCCGGTCGGTACCAGCGAGGATTGGGATAGTGCAAATAGGATTGGGCCAATCAGCACCAAAGTACCCATCCGGTCTTCTTCTTCTTCGGGTGCTAGAGGACCCTACGGGGCTCCCGGCGCGCAGCGCCGCACCCACGCGCAGGTCCAGGTTTGGTCAGGACTCCCGAGGACCGACGTTCAATGGAACGAAGTTCAGAGATGGGTCTCTCTTTCTTGCTTTCATTCGGGCTTTGGAGAGACCCCAGGAGGGATCTCCCGGGTCCCTTCTGGAGTCTTGAGGGGGGCGGAACATACCACAGAGGCGTTTGGGGGGGTTGGGCTTGGAAAGGAGGACACCGCGTTACTGTGCACATCCCACAGGCTGCCCCACTGGTCTGGACCACACCCTAAAGCAGTTAACTTTTTTTGGGCATTTGGTCGTGTCCACTGAGCTGTTTGCCACCATTACTCTTCTTAAGCTTAGGCTACATAAGAGCTCTAGGAAGCACTCGGATCAGGACTGAACAAAACTCACAACACCATAGGGGCCTAAGGCATCTAAACACAAGCTGTCCCAAGCTGGCGAGAATTTGAAATTCTAAGCCAGAATGGGACCCTAAGACCTGGTGTTTTAATGTTCGTCTAACATTACTCTCTACAGAGCCTTTCTTATGTGGCTCTTTGGGAAGGGTCCAGCCTCCTCTCGCGGTAGATCCAGGCGGTACATGCACTTCCACTCTTCGCAACGGTCCTTAGCTTCAGCTTCATCGGAGAAGCTCCCAAAAAGAGAGTGTCTGCCCGCAGTCTGTCTGAGCGTCTACGTAGGATACTCGGCAGGCGCCTTCGCTCGAGGACTCGCCCCGGGCTCGAATTGAGATGGCTTCACGATTGTCTTTCGGAGGCGGCGGTGGCTTGGGCATTTGATGGGCCAATGCTGCGTTTAGAGACTTGCTGAGCTCCTCCTGCATGTTTGTGTCCACCAGGGCCACCTGAGCTATCTGCTCAAACGGGACCTTGTAAATGGTCCCCTGAGGCTCCTCGAATAGATGCACCGTTGCAACATACTCCTCCGCCTCTTTGCAGCCCTCAATGGCACGACGTGCTCGCTCTGCCATCAGCATCTTGCCCGTCACGGTCTTCTTGTCACACAGAGTCAAGGTCAGCTGAACACCGCGGCAAGATTCTAGAAAACTCCCCATGGAGGCATGGCTGAATGGGTAGGTGGATCCAGATCCCGAAGGGAGGATGGCTTTGTCCTTGCCGAAGATGATGGAGGCCCCCCGGGGCGCAGAGGCCGAGAGCGTGTTTACCACCAGCTTCCTCCGCGCTTCGGGAACCCGCAGCTCGAAGTCCACGTCAAGACCTAGGGTGAGGGAGGGGCGTCTACACATCGCGCAGAACTGCCGGCATACCACAATGCTGCTCACAGTGAGCCTGCCTGCTACCATAGAACTATCATAGAACCTGTTGTGAAGGAACCTGCGTTGACCCTGCCAAGCGGCTATCGCCAATCTTGCCTTCCCTCACACAGAATGCCAAGTTGTTCTTGTAGAGGGTGATTCTGGCGAGGTCCAAAGGCTGCGCCTGTGCCATGACGAGAGTCTGGACCGCGAAGGGTTTCTTGAGCCGATGAAGCACTTTGCAGACACAGCTAGGCTGAATAAAGCTATGACCACAGCTGCGCGCAAGGCAAGCTGACGAAAACGCCGCTCGACATTCTTTTTCTCCGCCAACAAATCTTATCATCTGAGCCGCCGGGCCTGTGCTGCCAAGATTGCAACATGAAACGAAGAGCCGGCATTGCATTGTTCGCTATGGGCCAATGGCATCACAATTTTTCCGACCCTGAGGAAAAGAAGCACAGGATACTTTATCTAGGGGTTATGCCAGAGCTAACAATTTGGATGCTGGATGCACGTGGTCTCAACTCTCTAAGGGTGAACGTTCACAAATGTCGCCGCATTGCAACCCCGTCCTCCATCTGCTCGCTTGCGCTCGAGGCGACGTGTCCTCAGAAGCATAAGAGTCATAAGAGATCCAGGTACAGAGGTACACTTAGTGACTTTAATTTTGAGGCAGGGCAAGCCCAAGGCTGAAGTCCAACTACAACAAACTTCCGAGCGTCCCTTTCATCAGTTGCTTGGAAGTTCCAGAGTATTGAGGCCATCGTGGATGCAGCCTCGACTCGATTAACGCGCCATCTAGTGTAATTTGGATAGAAGCCGATTGGTTGACCCCAGAGGATCAGCGCTCGTTGATAATTGAAACCGAGAATTCTGCAGTTCGCGACAGGCATGGACGGCACTCTGGCGCGAGCGCCCTCATGACGGCAAATTGCAAGGATGCTCCGTAGGTCGCCCTGAACCGGAGTGAGGACGCTCTACATGACACCTGGAGAACCCTCCGCGTGCCGAGGGCGCCCGCCAGGCGCTTCGCTTTTCCCGCAACTTTGGAATCCATTGTTGTTGACGCGCTCCTTGGGGACAACACTCCCTTTGCTAACATTACAAAATCCCTCAACTCAAGCAGCCGTGTTCAATTAGCACACCTTTCTGAAGCTGTCACTGTCCTGGCTGCCCTTCTCACCACTTAGTGGCAGGGTGGGGACCGTTGCCAGCAGGCCAGCACCGAAAAGAATCCTGAGGGTGCCCTGATGGTCCTTCAGCGGTCCAGCCTGAACAAGTTGGATGCGGACCACCATCTTTGGCTGCCCAATCTTGTTCCCATGATGGTGTCTCCGAAGCCCGCTTGTGTAACTAACATGATAACTGATCATTGCATTGGCCAACCCACCCACCTACCGTTCTTTGAAAGGCGCACTCACCTTACAAAGAGTACTGTATCTTGCCATCATCATTACGGTTGCATGCGTGTCTCACTTAAACAGTACCTTCCCATCACCATGTCAATGTTGCCGTCCGAGCAGCAGTGGCGGAACATGGCTGAACTCTGCAAGCATCCGCTACCGCCGCTACCGGCTCTGGCAGCGCCTGCATCCTGAGGCTGCTCTTTATCTCCTCAGTCTGACACTGGAAATCCACATTCAGCAGCCCCTTAGGTTTCAAGGTTTGCCGGCTTGTGATAACAGACCCCGTGTATGATTTGGAGAAGAAGCTAGGCTCTGCTTCGTTGAAAGCTTCACTTGTATTTTTGCATTGTGCGGATCAAGGAACCAAGCTTGCTACTTCTACAGCAAGCTTCCTTGCTGGAGCCAACACCTCCAGTGCATTTGGCAGAACGATTGCAACTCTGAAGCAAAGGTTGCAGTAGAGTAGTAGGAGTTTATTAGGATCAGAAATGGCGGTGACTCATGGTGACTCGGACACAGAAGCCCAGGCCCTGCATAGACCAAGGCGCGCAAAGGAAGACATTGCCCCAATTGCGGGGTGTCACCCGACCGCCTTGCAGACCTTGCCGTCTCTGACGGGCTGCAGCTGGCCCAGCTGGCAGGCTGCCAACGTGCCGCAAGAGTCAGTCGAGCAGGGAGCTAAGAAGGACAGTTCGTCAAACGGCTTTACTACCAGCAGTATGCCTTGATGCTTTGGTGACATTTGGTGACCTTTGCTCCTGCCTCGTCTCAGCTGCCGGCCCAATCACTTGCACTGTACAATGCAGATCGCGAAAACTTCAAAGGATCTGCGATCTCGCAGCGCCGCGCTGTGTGGCGCCGCGTGGCGTTTATGACGGCGTGTTTGCCGTGCATTGACCTAGTCCTAAACATTCTCTCCTGTTGTATTACCAACGAAGACACGGGAACATGCTCCGTGGAATTAGGCTTCACAGCCTTGTATGCCTGGCTTCAGAGTACCACCACAGGCTCCTCTCCCTCCTCTCCCTCCTCTGGCTCATAGTGATCCAAACCTGCACTGGCGTGGCATGGCGTGGCTACGTCACGTTCTTACGTCTTAATGGGTGCAGCCAGTGCTGGCCTGGCTTGGGCTCTTCGCGGGGCCCCAGGCAGGACGACAGCCTTGGTTTTGGTCTCTGGAGACTTATCTTTGTTTGCTCCTTGGGCACAATCTTGGGAAAAGTGCACTCTCAGCCTTCCTGAGTCCAGGTGCTCAGCATGCCAAATGCGGTTGGAGAGTAACGTCTGCGCCGCGGACTGCCTTGGCATGTCCAAGACAATCTCAAGAGAGGGATAGGAGTCAAAGCAGGGATGCCCGTGTTTTGTTACAGGGACTCCTCGGAGCTTCTCACAAGCAGGGCCCTTCTCTTCCTCAAAATTATACACAGAATCTTGCCGATGCACATCAGCCCTTCTAAAAGCTTACATCGATTCCCACGTTAACACATTCGGGCAGGGGGCGCCCAGCGTGCCCACGGTCCTCCGCCTCCGGAGAGGCCAAGCTCCACGGGGTCGTTTATGGTCCCAAAGCAAGGATCCACGATCTCGGACTCCACCTGGGATATGCCGCAAATTGCCGCAATATGTCTCAGACCAGATTTCCAGCAGAGCGGCTGCTTTCACACCTTGTAGGGCCCCGGCGATTTCCTGATCCCGGCGCCAGTAGAAGAGTGTTTGGGCCGCCCAGAGGTATCCGTAGGAGTAAGCAGTGGGCACCGGCCGGGACCATTCCTGCAATGTGAAGCAAGCACAGCATCCGGCAAGCCACCCTTCCAAACGTCAAAAAAGTAAAAACAAGGACCCAAACGGAGCGGTTGGTGACTAGACAGCACACTGACTCATCGACTCATCCCTGTCCAGCACCATGTGCTTGGCATCGTCGCCCAAGACCTCCAGGCCCATGTGCCCCGCCCGAGCGGAGACCAGGGCCTGGCGCAGTCCGAGTCCGAGTCAAATTGGCAATCAGGAGGCTGCCGTGACCCGTTCCCAAAAACATCATTTCGATGAGCGCCCTTCTGCCCCTTCCAGGCCTGGGCTGCCCGCACTGCCGCTCGTCCAGCCGCAAGGCGGCTGTTGCACTCCCCCGGCGAGCAAAGTGCCTTCAGCAAAAGATGGGCCATAAAACGGGCCAAAGAGGCTGGAGGCCTTGCCTCCACCCTAGCTCCTAGCCCTCCAGCGACTAAGATGGTCAAGCTCGGTGAATGTTGAGGCTCTACATCAGGGGCTAATATTGATCAACCATGAGTCTTTCAAGATGCAGGCGGTGGAATTAGCTAGCGGAATTATGTTTTTGTAGGGGCCTGAGCTGAACGAGAATCAAGCGAGATGAGCTCGCCGCGCTCGCCATGTGACTACTGGACTACTGGCTAGTGTCCCTTCTGTCCCAGGTGCCACGTACTCGTAAAGCGCGAGCCTGGCAAGGCTCTGCGCTTTAATCTTTGAATCTGGCGAACTCGTCAGAACAAGAAAACCACTGCACCAGACATATGTAGCAGAAAAGCAATGGATTGAAGCGCTACGAAGAAAGCTGTGGGGTTATAAGCACGGCCCGGGGACACTTGCGAACAGCGCAAGGCCAGGAGCTGTGCCGAGTCGGCCAGATCCTGCACCACCTGGCACGGGAACAGCTCTTTGCAGATTCCGTGGCTGTGCTCCTCGCCTCCCCATGGCTGGGCGACTGCTGCGCAATCGCTGCGAACCTCGCAGCCAGAGCTGCAAAGGTTGCGTTGCTCTCGCGGAGCAGCGGCCAAAGCTGCTCCTGAGAAAGGCACAAAGGCGTTCCAGAAGTGCCAGGAAAGCCTCATTGAAGTTGCCTGGAACCAGACTCGCCGCGACTGTCGCAGAGTTTCACCGCTCAGGAAGAAATCAGTCATGGCGGCGCCACCCTGCTAGGGAAAAGAGCTCAACACAAGTGCTGCGAATGCAAATGCCTCTGCTCCTCCTTGGCCCCACCTCCCCAAGCGCGCGTGCGAGCCGGAGGCTCAGTGGAGGCGTCTCAGGTCAACGCGGAAATTCACTGCAACCGACTGTTCCTGAACAAGAGATCTCCACCAAATTCCATCGGAACTTCTGGCCTCGCGCCAGAGCTCCATGAAGTGCAGTCTGTCGGGTTGAGGTGCGCCCTGCACATGAGGCATGTTCGGCCGACTAGCAGCGCATCAAGGCCACGCCTCACCCAAGTAGCGTGCAGCCAGTGAGGCAAGGTCACTAAGACCCTCAGAGCCTCATAGAGAAACGCCACCAAAAACATGAGTAGAATAAGTAAAGCTGGAAGCATCTGCGCCTTGCAGGTAAGCAATCGCTGTGGCCTCTGAAATAGTAGCAATCATGCCAGCTAAGCATGGAGAAGCGGTGAAATTGAATACTCTCAGCAAGGCTCCGATCCAGGCCCGGTTCCTGGCGCCGGCGTCGTCTGGGAACCTGCCCAACTCTTTGAGCACAAAAGGTCGGGCCTCTGAGAAAAGCTCTCGACAAGGACGCTCATGTTGCGCAGCTGCGGTGTTTGACATGCCCACATCTTTCGTTAATATATCAATGCACTTGTCAAACAAATGGACTCTGCTTAAGTCTGAGAATCTCAGAATCAGTGCAGCTAAGGCTGGGACCATCTGCGCGCCTGCCCTGAGCGAGGGCAATTGTGCTTGCAGTGCTACCCGCCTACCCCTTCCAACTCCTCACACCTTCGGATCGCAAAGAGGGAGCTGCTCATGCTGCGTGCGCTCGATATCTAGAAAATTGGATAGCACCAGGGTTATTCTAGTGGCCGTTTTCCAAAGACATGTCACACTTGTCAACATTCCTGCAATGACCGCTCTGGCCACGCTTGGCGCCTCCACCAACAGCCGCCGCTGCGCTGCAGCGAAGTCCACCAGTAAATCCGTCAGGGCTGTCCGCCTTTGAAAAACAGCACGCGAAAAGTCCTGACAACCGTAGTCGTAAGTGCTGAGGCCCCTGGCGTGGCTGTAGGCAGAAAGCGGAAGATCTGGCTGAAGGCCCCTGCAAAGCAGCTTGTTTGTGAAGCAAAGCTAATCTGAGTGTTCTGGTCCACTCAACTGCAGTTTATTCCATTTAAAGAGCCCCTCAAAAGGTCAGCGGCCTGCAAGGCCTTTGGGCCGTCGCCAGGCAACCAGGGCTTGCACAGAGTTGGCCTGAAGCTTCTAGTCCAATTTCCTCCAAGCCCTCATCCTTGGAATATGTTTAGGCTAGCCCAGGTCTCTTTGGATGTGGGGTGTCCATAACGACAACGACAACAACAACAACAACAACAACAACAACCCCAATATTGACAGTAGAAATAGTCAGCTGCAGATTAAGAACGTGAAAAGCAAGAAATTTTGATATGAGACCATCATTCCGCGTTCTTCTATGTTTGACTGCCCTTCCGCCCCTGTGGCGTGGTTGGGCTTGGGTCTCAAGGACAATAAATGAGGATCGAGGCAAATAACTATCGGAAAGCCCAAAAGGAATTGTCGAAAGAATCTTAGAAGGAAACATATTGCAAGGACTATCCGTGTTATGGGACCCCCCAGAAAAGGACCGCTAATTTCTTGGAACTCCGAATTCAGTAATCCTGGGTGAAGCGGCCAGCCAGTAGCCCCACTGCCAGCCACTTTCAAAGTTCAGCTGGCCGAGCAAAGGCGCCTCGGCACTTAGAAGAATTTTAGTACTGTGGTAATGGTATCGCTATTCCTTTTTTACTGGTTACTTGCTGCGATTTTCTTTCATACTTCTCCCTCACCTTATCTTTCTTGTCACAGTCGTCCTCTTAGATGAAAGCTTCACTATGTGCTCCAGCATGTTCTGTCCCTGAGCTCGTGCGCCGCAGCAGGCATCGCGTCCAAGGTCTCAGCATCCTGGGCTCTTATTCCGTAGAATTTACCCACTACTCAAAATCTGATTCTTTTGGAGAGCTTACTTTCAACTACTGGGAAGTTACCCTTTCTTGACAGTTGCGGAAGTACAAGATGTGATCCTTGGCGCAGTACTGCAGTACCAGGCCTCCAAGCGGTCGGTGGCATATTTTGGAGCCAGGAAGAGCGGCACGGAGATGTCATAGTTGACCCAGTACGCAGTTTCCTTGGAGTTATGCATTTCTCATGTGACCCTTCTTTGCAGGGGACCCCGTGAGGCATCTCGGCAACTTGTTCTACGAAAAATGGGCTCTGAGGCTGCCAAGAGTCAGGGTAGAAGACCACCGGCCGGCCTCGCTGCAGCAAGAAGCCGGTCCAATCTCCTGAGCTGCTGGAGTTGGGGTTGGTTTTTCTTCAATCAGCAGTCTAGGATTTTGGATTATGGCTGGTTGGAACTGTTTTTGGAGATGCTTAGTTCCTAGGAGCCCTCAAGCCAATGCGGAGTATCTTGCCCTCTTCGTGCTGGCTGGCCGCGTAAGTCCGAGAAGTTTGCATTCCCATAAGTTGGAGCAGGGTCTGTCAGCGAATACGCTTGCACCGTATGTGGCATGCTCACCTGATGTCACCACGCAGCTTTTGCAAAGCAATAAGCAGCACAATTGCAGCAGCCAATCCAGTTAAGCGACAATCCTGGCATCCGCGAAGTAGTTAACTCAGTGTGTGTGGGCTTCACAAAAAGTAGGATCCGCGGTGAGGTCTGTATGATCATGATCAGAGATGGATTTTGGATGGTGTAGGGGGGAGTCTAGGCTTGGGAACGTCGTGCTTATTCCTACTACCAGAGGCACGATTTCGTTGCGAGTATGGCTATGATCAAGAGACCCTTTACGCAAAGGAGAACGCTTAAAGGAAGTGTTTGGCGTAGTTGCTGAGCACCCGGCGATAGTTGAAGTTCAGAGGCGCTCCCTTCTTGTCAGGCCTGCCAAAATGCAATAAAGCCCCTTTCTAGCCTTCCATGTCTTAGCAAGTTCAGCCAAGTCCCAGTACTCATGCTGGTTGATATTCAACTTCATCATGCCCAGTGAAAGAATGAAACCATACTAAACAAAGATGATCATAACAAACAACCAGCATTAGTCAGACGCAAAGGGTTGGCAGAAAGCAGCTCCCTAAACCCTAAATCCCAGTTGGAGCTATGCCCTGCCTGGGATCCTGAAAGCCATCTGCATGCTGCTTGGTGGAGCAATGGTTCTTGACCAGCAGCTTGCGAGAGCCCAAAGCCTCCTGAGCAAACGAGGACAGGGAAGCAAGAACGCGGCTACTTCATATGACGGCAAGGGAAATTGGCTTGGATGATCACCAAGATTTGCTAGGATTGGTGGTGAACTGCCAGCTCAGCTTACTGTTCGCATGTGGGGTGTCTTGTTTTGAAATCCCGATGGTGAATCCCTGTGGTCCTGAGTCTCATTCAGAAGTCGGGTCAGCTCCCGAGCATCCAGTCCTGCCACAGACCCGAGGAGTAGTTTTCAGCTTATGTTGGTCCGACTTAGCTGTTGAACTCCTCGGGTGAACTCCGTGCTACCCAGCTCAGTGCCCAAGTGGTCGAAGCCACAGCTTAGCAGCCACTGCACGCGCTCCTTCACCTCCATACTCTTGAGCACAAGAGCAGCTCATGAATAGAAGTAAGGATTCACCGTGTGCAAAACGATTCCTTTTTGAAAGCGGGTTGCTAAGCCCGGCGTGCAGGACATTCCTGGTATGGGCCTGCGCAGTGTTCTCCGCAGGCTTGCGAGATGGCTTTGGCAGCAGGTTCAGCGCATGCTGCTGCTTTAGGGTCAGGGGGACGTCGATGCCCACCTCCCAGAAATTCAGGATCCATCAGTGTTTTCAAGGGTTTTCAGGCTTGCTGCTCAAGGAAAGCACCCCGAGTCATCGTCATCGTAGCTCGGCCATGAGCTGCAGTTGCAGCTGGTGAGATGTCAATGCTGCAAACTCTTCCGGAGCTCTAGAAGGCATGTTTATCATACATGTAGCTCTGAAGGAGAATAAGAAGAACCACGTAAGAATGAACAGCAGTGCTCAGCAGTTGACAGCAGACTCCCACTCGGCATGGGTGCTACAGAAAATCGCATTCCACTCCCTACTAAACACCAGGGTGCTTGCTGCCGCCTCCAATCCTAGAGCATGGGCAGCGTCGACGATGAGCCCTAGCCGAACTCGGCGTTCCTCGCTCACCTCAAAGCTGGCCTGCAAGCACCCAAGCTATCCCAAGCTCATCAGCTTGCTAGCCCCTGACACCCCCATTTGGTGAAATTAGCTTTCAAGAAGTCAATCAGGTCCATCAGCCTCTTGAAGCTTGGTGCAGACACCGCAGTTTGACTCAGTGGTGTTTCGAGCTCGGGTGCTCTAGGTTCAAGTTGGTAACAAGCCTCTACTCTTAGCCAGCGCTGTCATCAGATAGCTGGCTTCAGAGATTTAGGCAAGTGTTGAATAGAACACAGTTCCCGCTCTGTGTCTTCATATGGGAGCTTGCCTGAAAAACAATCACAAATCGAAGGGCATGAGGGGGGGCCAACGCTGTAATCTCAACCTGGGCAAGGGGACTCGGACCATCTTACTTCTGTGCTGCAGCCAGCTCTATGGAATAGCAGTGGCTGCACAAGACTACAGAAGACTGCCCTACGTACACGCTTGACATGCTTGACTGTGCTTTCAGCACTGTCACAACTGTTGCCATGCATGGTCTGCAGGATGATCCTGCTTCGAAGTGCTTGCTGTGTGCTTCCTGCTCTAGTCTTGTCGCCTGCCTTGTCTTCGGCCCGGTCAGCCAGCAGCATCCACTCCAAATAATTCTGTTTTTGCGCCAGCATCCACTCCAAGTAGTCCTTGCCAGGGCTTAATCCCGGCTCCAATCCTTAAAGATCCCTGAACCCCCAAATCCTCCAATTCCTCTTAAAAGCCCTCTCTTGGCAGCTTTGCGCCTCCCAGGCCCTCCAGGCTTCTCGCCAGCGCTCCCGCAGGTCCGTGTGCCCGGAGGCATCGTAGCCGTTGAGGAAATTCGTGAGCTCCAGGGGATGCTGCGTGTGGTAGTGGGTACCTCGGCTCGGTTGCGGCTCTTTTGGGATTTCTGTTTAGGCCTCTTGGGTGCTAGGCTCTGTTGCTGGTGCGCGCTTCTTGGGGCCTTTTAAGCCGATTCTAGAACAAGCAGTCCCGTCAGTCTGCTCCTTTAGTCGGTCTGGTTGCTGCCAGTCGATCATCATTCCTACAACCATACTTAAGAATTGCGAGGATCAGCTTCACTTAGATTCGCACAAGTGCACAAGATTTACACTGCTAGTCCCCATTGAACTGCTCCTGGCCTCGGAAACCCCATCGAGGCGTCTCATGCACATCCAGGGGCTGCCACGGCCGCAAAGCTTCAGGGATAACCTGGGCGACCATTGCTCCGACGCAGCTCAGGGAGTCTTTTAATTTGCTCCAGTGCCGCTTTGAATTGTCAGGCCGCGTATGTATGCCTTTTTGCCTGAGATCGCTCAGAGAAGTTTGCTTGCTCGCCACGGCGCTGGCTTCAGCGGATGGAGGAAGCCGAAGCCAAGCTGTTGCAGAAACTCATAGAAAGCATAACCAATAGCGCGGCGGGTCCTCGGTTGAAAATACACGTAGCATCATCGGTAAACCACCTTGTAGACTTCCCAGTACAACTAGTGCAGCGACCAGCAACTGCATCACATCAACCGCACCAACACTTCTTATTGCTACTCCTCTTCTCCACATTATTAATACTTCTACTGTAGAAGCATTATTCTACAGAATTGGTTTTAACACTGGTATCACTCTTCGTTGTCATACGATCGCCTCGAGTCGAAGGCTGCTTGCCAAGCTGCTTCCCAGCGCACGCAACCAGCAGCTGTCCGGAGACATTTTGGCGCGCCCGCAGCAGGAAGGACTCGGGCCCCAGGGACGCCACGTCGGCCTCCGACACCAAGGGCCCTGAGCAAGGCTGACGGAAGTGAAAGTTATATTCCCCCAATAATGGAGAATCACATGGAAAAAGAATATGGAAGATGAAATGGGAACTACCATATGGTAGTATATGGGGGGTTGTACAAGGGTTCTGACTCTATCAGCCCAGGAGCCTGCTTCAGGCACGGCGCCCAGTGTCACAAGCAGCGGACTATCGATACGGACCTGTTCCGTAACAAGATGCCCAGGATCTTGAGGTAGCCGAAAGGCGGTAATGATTCTTGGCCACTACTGTACCCATTTGCCGACCGAGTACGACATGGTAGCAGCTAGCAGCTAGCATCTTTCAATGTGTCGAATTTGAAGCTTGAAACTCTTGAGGTCTTGATGAGAACCCCGAGTGGAATCGACAGCCTGAAGTCCAGAGCCGAGAAGCCTATAATCTACAATAGCTGTAATCACTGAGAAGCAATCTCAATAATTCAATAACATAATAAACGCCGGCGAATTCTCCTGTTCCCTATGCTGGTGGCCGGTGAGGTGTAAGATGAAAACATATTCCACGCGCGTCCGTTATCATGAGCAGCCCTTGTCGCATCAACAGCGACTTCACGAGGGAGCTAGCACCAGTACCTCCAGTCATAGCAAGTCTCATGGACATCGCCAACGCAACAGCCGCAACCATTATCATAGCGCAAGCAAGAAAGAGAAGCAGCAGCAGCAGCAGCAGCAGCAGCAAAAGCAACAGCAGCAGCAACAAGAAGTGCAGTGGATGAAGATAGGACACACATGGTTTAGAGACTCTTCTGTCTGGATTTAACACGCCTGGCTCAGTCGAAGCTCAGCACGGTGCCGGAGCGCATCAAGGCCAGTGGCAGCGCCTTCAGATTAAATTAACGCCCCTCAACAGCCCTCCAGAGTATTGCCGTAGAAATGCGCGCTCTTGAGATGCTTGGCTTCAGCATCTCCAAACATGTCGTCAAGAGCCTATCTTGACAATTTTTGCTTGTATTCAGAAATCGGGGCCTAGGTGCTTGTTGGGAATAGCGCATTTTGCTCGAAGAAGACCATTCACCGCTTAGGAGGGTTTGCTCGAGTACGAGGAGAGCCTGAGAGTACAAGCCCAAGGGCGGCAGTGACGGCTTCTAGGTTCTGACTGCTGAGGCTGCTGATCGGCCTGGTGCCCAAAGCCACCTAACGCTTGGACCTTCTTCCTGCCAGGCAACGGATTGTTGGCGCTGCTCTTGCTGCCAGCACACAGCACACCGCAAGCCTCAGCTATCCCTAGTAAGCCGGTACTGGAACTACCGGGCATGTAGCTGCGGCTTAGTCACCATCTGCCCCAGTGCATCAGCATGGCCATGTCCAAATATCCAAAGCCGCCTGCTTCTAAGATTCTATGCTGCAAATAAGCTGAGCGTTGGCTCATATAACTCCTAACACTCTGAAACCTAAGTCTCACCTTACACTACCTTACAGTCACTTCTTGGTAACCCCGTAGCTAAGCTCAGCCGGGCCCGGGTTCCAAAAGCCGTAAACATGGATAAGGGTGAAGCTGGCCCTGCAAGTAGGATGAGAATAGTGCTAGAATGTCACAGCATGCATCTTCATGCATAACTCACAGCCCTCCGATGGCGCTCTTGTGAAGCCTGAAGCCCTCATGCCTTGAGCGGGCTGGCGGCAAACATGTCATTCCAAGCCTCTGCCGCAAGGTACTGTCACATTGAGCCCGGTCTGAATCTTTCTCTCTTTTTCTTTCGCGTGCATCAGCTCGAGCTGGAGGAGCTCGAATCACTGGAGTCACTGGAGCTTGAGGAGGACCTGAGCCCGCATTACCCAAGTGTTGAGGAGTCAGGAAGTATTCAGGAGTTTAAGGGCTTTGCGACTCAGGGGCATGTAGTTTAGTCTGAAGGATGCAGTGGGTAGGGCTTGGAGTTTAGGGTTCAATAGAATGCTTCAATGCTGGTTGGTCTCTGAAGGTGCTCAGACTATTACCCACGCGATACATTCCTAGCTGCATGTTACGAAGCTTGACAGACTGCATCTCTGCATCTGGACTTACCGGTTGTTAGTAGGGAATAAGGGAATGTAATCCTTATATAACCTCTACATCATATGTTCCCTTCTTCCCTACTAAGAACCAATAAGTCTCTGCGTCTAGAAGAGCGCGGCTCTTTCTTCTTCTTTTTCTCCTTCTTCTCCTTTTTTTCCTTCGCATCCTGCCCAAGGCTTGCCATGCTAAGTGGAGAGAAGCCTTACAATTGGGGTTCTAGGATGTTACTGGGATGTATAGGAGTTATCTGGGGACTACAGTTTAGTGTACGGTCTGGTGGAACATTAATTCAGGGCATGCCAGAACCACTTCCAGGAACCCCCTGGCTATCGTTATGGAGAGGAAACTGAAGCCTCTTTGAACTGAACTGAACAAATCGTTGTAACGCAATTCAATCTTGTAAGCCATGCCCACTCATGCCCGCTGCTGCGCTAAGAGATGATTTCTCTGTGACACTTCCAAGGCCTTCTCTGTCTTTGGCTTCTTCTCTGGCGGCGCAGCTGGGTCTTTCCTCTCAGACATGCTGAATGAGACGCTCGTTATAGAAACCCCCTTGCAAAGAGGACACGCATTTTTGTGTTCTCGCTACTTGGCAAGCTGGCCACTGCTTAGGCGTTCCATGAGTGATGCCAACTTTAGCAGAGACCAAGAATTGCACATGTGACAAGGATCCCATCAGAGAAGCAGCAGACCATCACACCATTCATGCACCTGGTCCCAAATCGCATGCGGTCATCGCCTGCGCGTTTGCAAAGATTGTATGTGTCCAGCCTGCTTCCAAACCTACCATTTTCAGTGCCAAGTGCTACTACAATCTCTATGCTTATACTTTTGGTATGACTGGTATTGCTGCGCAAGCGCTTCAATCCAAGAGCTCCGAGTGCCGAACCCAGGAAGGCGTTGTGGGGCACTGCTGGCGCCTGCATTGACAATTGATAGGCTGGAAGGGCAGAAGTAACCACCTTGGCATGGATCAGCCAAACCGCTCAGAGATCTGCCACATGGCCTCCTCTTCTAGGAAAGCTTGCTTGAAGCGTTTCTGCTTGAGCTGTCGCGAGGCACTAGCGCGGACCTGTGCGGCAAGCAAAGGCTGGATGTGCAAGAATGAACTTGGCGGGCATGTCAGGGTCATTTTGCAGTATTGAAAGGAAATGATATTATGGGAGCTATGCCACACAAGGAAAGAAACAAAAACACGCACAATGACAAGGATACTGAAACTCAGCAGTAAGAGTTCTCCACAGCCAGGCCCTTCGCTAGAACTTCTCAGGATAGCCGGATCTCCATTCACAGGCCTCGAACTTTTCTGGGGGTGCCGCCAGAAATGTGTTCACAAGGGGATGCCGCAGAGTTGTCGCAATTTGCTAACATTTTTGCCTCTGTAACAGCCCCTACTTCTTGAGATTACGCAGCGATGGCCTCCAGAGTCCCAAGATACATTCTGTCTCTGCACTACGCTGGAGCCACACGACGGCCTGGTAGGTGCTGCCATTCTTGCACTCGTACGTCCAATGCCCAGGAGCAAGGCATTGCTGGCCTCGGGACGTTTCACGACAAGTACCTGTTATCTAAGTCTTATAGTATAGCGACTATAAACAGAAAGAGTGTGTGACAGCTGAAGGTCTACGCCATTTGTTTTAAGTAATTTTCAGCCGGGAGCTTCGGATATGAAACCAGCAAAGCATCAGCTCCTGTGGGGTTAGTGTAAACCCCCAAATGCCTTCCGGTGAGCCTTGGGAAGGAGCTGTGCAACTTGAAGACATCCAAGTCTGGGTTCTATTGAAATCTACTGCCCTAAGAACTTCTGCACCAGAGGCGAAGGCAGATAATCTTGGCCTTATTCACCGCGCTGGCACCTGCTCAGGCTCCCTTTCTTTGGTCAGTCTGATTGACCCGGTGGTCCTCTTGCTGCGGGAGATTCTCTTACTAAGGCAGTAAAGAAATCAACAGTGGCAGAAGAACGGATAAGGCAGCCGTAGAAGGAGGCGTATGATGAGCAGGAGCGATAGCAGTAACAGTAGCATCTTATGTGAAAAGCGTAAGCACCCCCAGCCGTGCCTAGCATCGCGACCTGCGAGGCACGGGGCTGCCTTGGCTGAGGATTGTGAGGATTATATGTTGGTGGGATTATATAGCGGAAGGAAAAGTGGTAATGATATAAGGCAACTCCTGAGGCATGGTCCAAAGACTCGAGGCCCCAGCCTTGCGCGCTGTGGCGCCCTGCCCCGCCCTGTTTCTATGCGTGTATGCTGTGAGCCCAAAGAAATTACAGAAAACACCAAGCTGCTCTTCCTGCATGGGCAAAGCTGTTCCAAGCCCTTTACAACTAGCACAGGCTCATTCGCAGGTATGGCAATAGCTCTCGGTCACGGCGCGCACATGTTCCTTTTCCTCTTCACAAAACATGCATCCGACGAAAAACACGTCGCGCCCTCACCTGGTACTCGGGGCTTTCTTGAACTTCTGCTGGGCATGGCCAGGGGTCCCCTCCCCGCTCTTCAGACGAGGCAGGCGGTGATTGGCACCGACATCACTGCATCATTGCCCTCTGTGCCATCCGCACACACACTCTGACGCCACCTCTCGTGGCCTGCCGGAGCCAGGAGCCTGTCCAATTGGTGTAGAATTTCAATCCTCTCTGCTACTGTTGCGCAAGATGGCCATTCGGACCTTTGCTGACCTCGCAGTGAGAGGAAGTCTCTCAGCCGGTGTGGTAGGCATGAAAAGGTCAACATGTCTGCACAACATTCCGCCGAATCCTTCGTCTGGAGAGACAACTGCTGCTGTAACAACTAGGCCCAAAGCAATCAACATTTACCGATGCCTGCCAGACCCCTTCAAGAGCGCTTCGGCTGTGCAAATGATTTCCTGCCGAAACACGTATTGATTACAAATCTTTGCGTCCAAGACGCCCTCCCACCCGAACCGCGTCAAAGACAAACACGCTATTGCATGTCACGATCTCAAATGTCAACACAAACTTTGTAGAAACAATTTTCATGCACTGCACAGGTCCAGGTGATATGTCAGGGATGCCGAAGTGGAAAAAATGGACAACGGGTAGCAACACACTACGAATGCTTTCGAACTTCAGCTCGGAAAGGTGCTAATGAGTGACAAGGTTCCTAACGCAACGCGGAAGAGTCCTCGATGAGGGCCCTTAACATGGCCCCCGTACTTAGCTAGGCTATCTAAAGCACCTGAATCGCCCCACCTCTAGCTGCTAGCTGCACCCAGCTCTCGCTGCCAGTTGAGGCCTGTTCAAGTGTTCAAGGACTCTGGTTTGAAGAAACGCTTTTTCTCCTCAAGAAACTGCACTTACGGTGGTGTCGTTCTTGTAAATAGGGTTGGCATCTTTAGAGCCACTCCATAGTATGAAATCTCGGCAATCTGTTTTTGCCACACATATATAAATGGTACCAGCCCCCAGGAGACCCATGCTTTACCTACCAGCAAATGCGTCGGTATACTTTTTTTCGTCTTTCGAGGTTGAGATACTTTTTAGTCTTCTCGGCATACTTTTTTGGCGGTATACTTTTTTGGGGCATCAAATTATACCAGCGCATTTGCACATATTAGGGCTTCATTACTTATATATTACTTATAACCTGGTAACTATGATGAATGACCTGTAAACATCCTTGTGCAAAGGCAGGGAGAAGGCTTCTTGAGGGTATGCAAATATGCACTGCCAAGACTACTTGGTCACGTTGTATTCAAGTTAGCAACCATTCGACCATGTAGGGGTGAAGATCCCCATGCCTAAAACCAAACCCTAAACCCCTTAAGCCCCGGAGCAAAAAACCTGAGCCCCTAGCCCCAAATAAGATTTCAGCTCATCTTTGGAAACCCTATTGCTCGCAACCCGAGCCTTGAAGAGGCCGTCCATGAAAATCCCAAGTCGTATAGGCAACTTCCCCTGATTGACTACTGCATGGTAAAACCGATGTATATATAAATGATTGTACGTATATAGTACTTAATCGGGCCCTGTTCAGAAAAGCCTAGCCATCATTGAATGCAAAACATGGGTACACAAGACATCTTACGGTTGTTGCTTCAAGTGGTAACATCCCGCAAAGATCTATAGTACTGAAGCCAAGCTGGTTGTATTACGATAGTTATACGTTCTATTCCGATTCACAACCCCGCTTGAGAGAGGCAGAGGGACTGAGTAACCATATATAGGTCAGTAATGGGGATAGCTAGGGACATCACGTGGCTTATATAATCTTGCTAAATAGCTGGAATCTAATCACTACGTCCCCCTGATCCCGAAGTAGTCCAAGCACTATAAGACTGTTTTAGTCGGGCCAGCCCACTACTGGGTTGCTGTTAAGAAACTAGCTGACATTAAGCTACATGCAAAACCCCTACATAACCCAACTAAATATCCCTCCAAAGCAGGGCCTATTTTGCAAAGGCGCCTCCGCTTCATTGGCTCGTGCGTGGACTTGTTAGGGTGTACATAAGGTTTCTAGGATTATGTGGTAATAGATAGGGTGTATATAGGGCTTTGTAGGGAGAACCTTTGTTTATAGGGATTGGGTGAGTTTATAGGGCTTCGGGGGAATATTTACCCAATACTTTGCGGGTATATGAGGATTATGGGGTGTTTTATGTGTATATATGTGTATACAGTATATATATAAGTAGATTGGGCTATATGGGGTTTAAGGTTCCGTATGGGTCTCTTTTGCAGGCCAGTTGGCCAAATGGGCTCTTGGAGCCATGTGAGCACCATACAACCCAACTACATAACCCGATGTATGCACCCTAAAATCCTCTTAGCCTAAACTATTTCTGATCGCCTGAACAAGTCCAGCTGGCAGCACATGCAGAGTTTAATTCTAATGGTATCCCCGAAGCAACCTCGTTCTAAATGGCGGCGCTTGTGGCGAGAGTACAAAGCTGCAAGAAAGGTGCTACCGCCCCAACCTGCTTTGATATGTTCTTTGGCTCTGCCTGCATCTTGCATGCAGGGTTCAGGATGCTGTGTGCAGTGCTTGCATGAATGCATGGAAGCTGAAAGCGTCTCTCACTGCCAGCGGTGCTGCCTCACAGGGAGACCACGAAAACTACATGGATCACCTACGAAACATGATGTTCTCCAAGTCCCTGTATGTGTCTTCTACTAGTACCCTGGTCGAAGGCTACTTATGTTTCTACGTTTCTGCATTCTCACGTAAGAAGTGATTTGGCAGTACTGTTGGATAGGCCCCCCGTGTCTTGGGAAAACGCAAGTTATCCAGGGCTCAGATGATGTACAGAGTGTTTTAGCCAGCTTATGTGAAGCAAATTGTGGAACAGTAAAGTTGATCTGGGTGTCTGCTGATTGCTTGGCGCCATGGCCAAGTTTGCCGAAGTGGATTGCCTCCACCTTTGCTGGGTTAAAGACAAGGAAATCCTCGAACGGTTGGACGAGGGCGGACGTGTAGTGAAGTCTGCGGATGGCTCATCATTCGTCAACGCTAGTGTGCTCAACTGTCTTGAAAATCGTGCCCTTTTAGAGCCCTATATGGGCCGGCAGCTGGCGGCCAGAAGTTTGGACATACCTGACCTAGAGAGTCTCAAAGGCCAACTGAAGGCACTTCACTTTGTCCGTGCTTCTCAAAGGGCATCGAACAGGGGTTCCAAGAGACCACGAGCAGTGCTAGAAGCGACTATGGAGATGGTGGAGGGCAACAGCCACCTTGATGCTAAATCCCTCAAGCGCATGTTGTCTTATGCACGGCACCGCTTCCTTCAAGATACGTCAGTCAAAGACACTCATTTGCAAGAGTACGTACATGGTGTGTCCAGTCATTGAAGTACTTGGATGAGTTTCAATCTCATGCATGCTATGCCCCCCAGCCCATGTAATTACTTCCGGAGCTTGCTATTGCTGGGACTGCTTAGGATCCCGCCTTCGCGGATTTCCTGAAGAGTTGGGGTTCACCAGAATCTTGCCTGCAAACTGCTAGCGGCTGCGCGTCTGTATGCAGAATTCATGTCTACAAAATACGTAATGATGCAGTACACGTCCTGAGATGATCATTGTGTCTGTGGGCGTGTGACAGTGCAATGTGATTTGGTGTGCGGAATATGGTGAGGTCAACATCGGGAAAATCTATCTGATAAATCTAACTTCGGTAAGGTTCCAGTTGATGTCCTCACTACCTACTGGATGTGTGCTTTGTTAATGTGTTCATGCCCTCCTTCAGGATCAGTACCTCAAGGGTGGCAAGAAGACTCGCTGGGACAGCGGTCGTGATGAGGATGATGGTGAAGGTGATGCAATGTGTGATTGTGCGTGCGAAGCTGATGAGGGTGAGGGAGGAGAGGAAGAGACTGGGGAAGTGGATGAGGTAGTTATTCCTGAGCCTCCCATGGCTCGACCCAATGACACCATCATGCCCGTAGCCGATGAAAGCAGCAAGCCCCTTACAGATGAAACCAGCAAGCCACTTGCCGATGAAGCCAGCAAGCCTTCAGCTGATGAAGCCAGCAGGCGCTCAGAACATGACCGCATCATGACGTATGGTTACGGTTACATGTTGCCACCCTTGCCACCAGCCAGTGATGACACCCAGTACTATGAGTGCACGCAGGGAGATGACGAGGTTGCCCTTCCCAGGTTGAAGGGTCAAGTCATCACGCGCCTTGCAAACTTGCCAAGCTTTGGGAGTACGCTTCCCAGTGGATCAGCTTCTACTCGTGCTCCTTCAAGCGCAAGCCTTGCCGAGACTGTGCTTGAAACGCCTGAGAGAATGGAAAGCCGAAATGATGTAGGATTACCATCCGGGCAAATAACACCTTCTCCAGTTTCCCCGCCTGTAGTCTTCAAGGAGGTAATTGTTGTGGTGGAATCCCAAAGAAGGCAGTGAAAAGCGAGCCACAGGATGATGAACAGCAGGCCCCCGAAGAGCCATCAAGCTTTATTGATAAGAGTGCTGCCATCCGGGAGCTGGCAGTGCTTGAAGCAGCACTGCCAGAGCCTCAGCGCGTTCGCATGTTTTGCTCAATGAACATTGCCATTGCGTGTCTCCTTTGCTGCATATTGGCAAGAATGAAGAGGTTCCTAGACTGTGTGTACTTTGAGGTTGCACTTGCAAGCCGGTAAAGCAAAGGAACTGCCCAGCAACTTGTTGGAGTATCAGCTTTCGCCTGTTGCTTGTCGCTGCGAGGGTGTGTGTAGGGGCTTTGTGGTGATGCAATCAAGTCTGTGTCTCAGGTAAGCCAGTCCTGGATACGGATGATACGCAGCTGCATTCGGAGACTCAGATGGACAAGGAGGCAGCAAGGTTGGCAAGGTTGAACTCCACAAGCCTGACCATTCCTGACCCCCCAGCCGCTTGCCTTTGTGCCAACATGTTTCAGTACATGCCTGCGTTATCAGAGAAAATCCTTTCACTTCTCCATTGCAGCTGTCAATTTAGAAACTAAATTGATCTTTAGATTGATGATCCCCTTTCCCACATGCATGGGTCTGTGAAAGCTTCCATCTCAGGTTGTTTCACGCGAGGATCAGCTCCTGGCACGCAAGAAAAGGAAGGACGACGAGGCAGCCAAAAAGCTGGAGAAAGCCGCTGTAGGAAAGGAAGGGGACGAGGGTGATGGGGAAGAACCTGTCAAGAAGCGCAAAACAGCTGCAAAAAGCAAACCTTCCAACCCTGCAAAGCCAGCAACGCCTGCAGCAGAGGCAGAAGCAGAAGGTGATGCGGAACCAGAGGAGGATGCAATGACAGAAGGGGTGGGCCAATCGAGGCCCCGGCTGAGGCAAAGAAGGGTGGCAAACCAAGGGGAAGTGGACAGGCAAAGGCAAAAGCGAAGGCAAAAGCAAAAGCAACGGCGAAAGCAAAGGCAAAGGCGAAGGGTAAAGCGAAGGTGAAGGCAAAAGCATCGCCGAAAGCAAAAGGCAAGGCCAAGGCAAAACCTACGCCGTCCGATGGTGATGGCCCACGGGATGATAACCAACAGGATGATGCCACAGCTGGGGATGACATGCGTGAAACCCCAGCATCCAAGACCAAGAAAGCCTTGAATGAAGGGATGAAGGGAAACAAGAAGAAGCTTCAAGAGGAGGATGACACATGGTTAACAAGTTGTGTGGCAAAGGCTTTCGATTCAGGTAATGAACAGTGGCTGCTGATTTCATTTCTGTTTTTAAAGTCTTCCCTACCCTGATGAATCTTCTGCTTCTCAGGAGAAGGTGGCAAACAAGAAGCGCCTCATTGAGACGAATGGCACCTTGGAACATTATGTCCTCATGGGCTATTGGAATCGGCCGGCTGTGGGCATCAAGCAAACAGCAGACGGCAAGCAGGCACGTTGTTCTCTGACCAACGTTCTTCGCACGGAGCTTTTCAAGTGAGACAGTGTATATGAGATTATTGTTGCAGGTGATGTATTTCGGGAGTAAAGGCAACACCCTGACTGCGCTTATGACGGCTGCCATCGATTGCGTGCCTGGGTTTGGTACCATAAATTGCCATGAACACGCGTGCAGGTTCGCTAGCGCAGTAGTCATGGTTCATGATTGCGTTGGGCCGTCTCTATAGCGATGGTCGTCCATGGGAATTGTATCCACTGCGGATTGTTCTTTCTCCATTGAGATCTGGCCTATAATTCTAGCTGAGGTTCGTTACATGGACAAGAATCCAGGGGATGACGATGGCATTGCGCAGTACGTGCAGAAGAAGAAGCAACAGCTAGCAAAGATGGCAGTGACAGAGTAGGACGGGCCATGATTTGGCCACACACTTTTGATTTTGTGGGCATGTGCGTCCCGCCTGAAGGTATCCTGGGATGCTGGATGTGCTTAGATTACCTGTTTGGGGTTGGTGTGCACTCTGTAGTTGGTGACCCCCATATGGTATAATAGAATTTAACTCCTGCATGTGTTTCTAGCAAAATTAACCTCTTGCATTCGAATCTGTGTTTGTTTCTATGTAGACGATACACCACTGAGTGCGCATTGGTGGGATTCAGGTATGGAACATGTCTGTTTCCAAGCTCTGCCTATCTGGCTTAGAAGCGCCAGCCCAGGGGGATTTCAACACGATGAGATTCAAACGAAGCTCTGCTGCTGCTGCGGGAAAAGTAAACATTCTGTTGCCAGCTGCATGGGTTTACGTCGCTGTTAAATTCAGGGTGACCATGGTACAGCCATTAAGCCCTTGCGCAGGTGCTGATGAATGCCGGTTCCGAAATCACTCCGAGGACGTGTTGGCGAAGCTGCTGCTGGGAAAGCTCGTCCTAAGATTCGTCAGCCCGGACTCAATTGAACTTGGGGCCCCATCTCTGAATTCTGTTGCATGATCAATGTGCTTCATCAAGTTGGATGCCTGCATGCGCTATAGCACCCCTTAAGTAGATAGAATATGGGGTATATATGGGTATCTTGTGTATGAGTATATAGTTCATATGTACCTGTAAAACCCTATACTCTATCTACTTAAGGGGGACTGCATTCAAATGTAATTTTGTTGAAGCTGCTCAGCGATACGTTCCCGATTAGGAACATTGTCATGAACGGACGCAAGACAGCCCACTCAGATCCCCAGTTTTGACAAAATGTATGGAGTTAATTGGAGTTCCCCAGAAGCTTCCCTTGTGCGAAGCATGACCCTTATCAAGAAGCATTTACGTGGATCCCTGTATACTCCCTATAGCTGCCCAACACTCCCCTGTTGTAACCCCTTTACATTCCCTTCCCCGCGCTACTCGATCGGAGTATAATCCTGTTACCTGCCGCTCGTTTGTGATTGAGGACTTACCCTTGTACGCACTGTATAGTGCAACTCCTACATACTTACCTGGTGGGTTCCAAAGTCCTGACTTCGTAGTCCGATTGCATCTAGATTCATCTTGCCCGTGCAATGTGGAATGATGAGAAGCTCCGAACGCTGTTCTCTCGCCTCATCCAGCTGAAAGCCCCCAAGGCCAGGGTCCAGGAGAACCTTTGTGCAGGCTTGCGAAATTTAAGCCGGCTGTCAGGTCTTGCTGTTTGCCATCCTTTTGTTGGTCTGGGCGGACAACGTGACTATTCCATCGGAAGCTGCTTGCTAGCACATGAAGTGGGCTGCCTGTGTGTCTGGGCGAACCCATTGATTCCCATGCTGAGCTAAGACTCTTGAGTGGCTGGAGTTCTTTGCTGGCAATGCGGAAGTCAGCAGACATGTAAAGGCTTCTGGATATCAGAGCTTCAAAGCAGATATCCTTTATGTGCAGCCCGGGCAGTTCAACCATGCCAACTTTATGGATCTATTAACGCCAGTGGGGATGGCGTCATCAGCTCAGTTTCCTGCGCGTTGCATCGAACCGAGAATAAGGTAGAGCAAAATGAAACCTCAGCCCATTGATGACTTTGATTTTTCTGGGTTGAGGTGCGCGATGGCTGCAGTGATGGCGAGTGTCCAAAACAACGTGGTAGTATGGTTCGGACTGCTGTGCTCCAGCTTTACGCGTGTCAACCAGGGCACAAGCAAGAGAAGCTATTTGGTGCCACTGGGTGACACTACCAAAACCAGCGTGATTAACTCCAACATCCTTGCTGCCCGGAGTCTAAGCCCAAATTGGCAAGCCTATTTGCTCAATGTAGTGCATCTACACACAACCTCAAATCGCCCATCACTTCTGCAAAAAGGGAAGGAATCTTGGAGCTTTAATAGATTTACACAGTAGCATGATGTTTCTCTGCAAGGGGTTTGACTACGCGGTTCTTCACGTTTTCGGGTTGTCTGTTGACACACCGGCAAGCTTAACCTGCAATTCTTGAAGCCCTAGTAAGGACATGCATCCTGATCCTCATGGTGCTGAGTATGAATGGGACATTTATACTTGAGCAGCCTGCTCAGAGCAACTTCGAATGGTTTCCAAGATTTAGAAGAATCAAGGAGATGATTCGTGTCTGGAAGGTGGCCTGGTACATGCTGCACTATGGGAGTAAAACTCCCAAGCGTCACTTTGCTTGGTCGAATTCCAGGGCGATTCTTCGGCTATCTCGTGGTAAGCTTCGTGGCTGGAAGCGTCCCGCAACTGGACACACGGTGAAGCACTACTACGATAAGAAAGGCCGTAAACGCTTCTGCGGAACCCGGCTCCTCAAACAGACAGGGTAGGGGACTCAATTGCACATTCATGTTTCGGGAACTCAAAGCAGCGATTAAGCGTGCCAAGCTCATGTTGTTTAGATGGCCGGTCTCTAAGGAACTATCCCCCAGAATTTGGAGCTCGAGCAGCAGCCCTGATTGCAGAAATCCAAGAGCTGAAAACCCAACTCCCACCTGATCCGCTGGAGGCCCACGTCCCATCTTTGTGATTACGTGGTTTAATCTATTCTTGATCCATGCAGCTTATATAAAGCTTAATCAGTCATGGAACCGTTTAGAAGCCTTTGCCCTCCAGGTGCCAGACATTGCCACCATGTTCAAGAACCTGGATTTCGATGATGTGTGGAGTGAGGGCAAAATGTCCGACGTTATCTTGTATCTCCGTGGCAACAAGTCTCTTCAGATACCGGATTCTTGGAGACCTCTACTGCCTCAGACAATACCCTATTAGTTGAAGGTCAAGTGAGCTCTGCTACAGGGTGAAGGGTGAAAGGTTTGAATGGTTTCATAAGCCCAGTAAGGTACATGAGTTGTAATAGGTTCATATATATATATATAGGGTTTACAGGGCCTGCATATATATATATGTATATATACATATATACAGATATGTAAGCCTTTTACGGGTTTTGGGTCTAGATAGCTTTGAGCTTCATGGAGAAGGTTTATATAGGCTTGGGGTCGGCGCTCTCTTCATCTGCTGCGTGCCTTGAATTATAGTGGCGTACAAGTTTAATTCAATATGCCCCTGTGTAGCGTATTTACTTCATACAGTCCTGTGAATACAGATATAGACATGTATATATATATATCTAATATAATGGTCGCAGCAGCTGAATGGAGTGCTTCCCTTTAAGGTTGAGCGGCTTCAGTGGCTACTTGATCAACAGCTAGTGGGGTAAAAAGAACGGCTCCAAGTTTGGAAATGGATACGCAAGGATGGGGAAAAGTGCACCTGTGTGAGCTCAAGAATATGGATCCAAGCGTGAAACATGCGGGATGCAAGCCTTTACATGACTTCTCTTATAGGCTCAACAGGGACCAAGCCTCTTGATGGGCGTGGATACTTTTTTGGCACGGCATGGATACTTTTTCTGGGGCCCTGGGACCCCAATGTTGGAAAAAATGTTGGAATCCAATTCCGTACCCGTACTCAACCCATACTTTATCAACATAATGTTGAAAAAAAAAGCATACTCAAATTACAACATTTAGCCCGTACTAGGGGGGTCCCGTATACTTTTTCTACTTTTCGGCGTGGGCCTGCTTTTCGACTTCCTCGGCTTCAATCTTCGAATCTTCGCGCGACCAGGACAGAATCATGATGTGTAGCTGGGCCAATTTCTTGGAAGCTTTCGATCACTTACCCTTGAAGGACGATCGAGATGAACAGGGCCACGACTGAGGCTGCTCCATTGCATACACCAGCTAGGGGTACCCCATATAGGAATTATATAGTTCTATTCGAAGGATTTCCAATACCTTTTTTGGGGTGGCTGGGGGGGTTCAGCCCTATCAATCTCAGATCCATGGTCCTATAAAAGCAATTCCCCCGCGTAAGCCGTATTTTCAAGTAATCATCCGATCAGTAGGAATGGGACAACTAATTTATATACACGCATGGATTATATTGGATTAAATTTCCTTAAGTTCCCTGCTTACCACCCATGCATATAAGATTACGTACGGGGTGAGGGCTGTTGAGGGCTCAGGTGGGCTTTCAGGTTTCGACCCAGGAGTTTGTGATTTGGCTTTGGAGATTTGCTTTAGGATTGTCCCAGTATTTGAATAAAAAGCAACCAGACACGGCTACCGCTCCCCCCATGCACACCCTAACCCCAGCCCACCCCTAAGCCCTGCAGTGCCTTCCAGAGGTGAGATGGGTCACGACAAACGAGATGATCAAGCACGGCTACGATTCGCAACTTGCCTGCTCTGTATGGCCCTTTTTAGATGGATCTGTTTACTTTCTAGCTGAGGTCCAAGATTGAGCATATCATTTCAAAAGAGAACGTCAAAGTCAAAGATGATGGTAATGGACAGAAGATGTATCTCTTGCAGATCCAGGCTGGCACCAACGCTTCCATCACTCGGCATAAACCCNNCATCAATTCTTGCCCCAGCAACTCCTGACAGATGCCGTCTCAGCGATCGAAGCTCGATGATGGTAATCCTGACAGATGATGATGTCAAGAAAGGTGCTACTGGGCGGTGTAAGGTCTGCGTGAGGGATCGTTGCACACATGTGACCCTGACAGGATTGGGATCAAATTTTGGATGATCACTGGCACAAGAGCAGTTTGGAACAAAGAAGCTTAATGGGAGGTAGGTGCTTGCAAGGCCTCTCTTGCTTGCTTGTTTGCGCTGCTATACCTCCTCACAAGGGAGAGGCGGGGGCAAAGCCCCAAGCAGGACGGATCAGGGTCACTCGACACTGTCTCAGGCCCCTTTTAGCGAACATAGTCGGGATTGCGAAGACACAAGACTCAAACAATGCAAGGCCTCTCTCTCTGTCTCTCTCTCGACTTGTATATTGCTCATGCATGCAACGCGCAAGACTTGCGTGCTGTAAACCTTGCCAAGCCTAAATGCACTCACACATCGCAGAGCCTTTGGGATAGAGCTGAAGTCCAGGGTTTGGAGCTGTAGTGATCTCACTTTGGGAGTTGCGGCCTTGGGGGACATGGCTAGCCCTCAAGAGCAAGATCTACGACGCCGTATTGAGGAGCCTTGCAGGTTTGACCCACGTAGACTTCTGTTGCATCTACACGTGTACTCACTAATTGGCTATAGCTATTTATGCGTGATGCAGGAGCTGCGTGGAATCGTTGCAGAATGCAACAAGATGCCTCCCCCAAAGAAGACAAAGACGGAGGCTTGTTCTTGATTTCATTTGCCTTGCTACTGATCTACGTAGAGCCTCATGATTCGGTCCTCATGGATCGAAGTATTGTTTGTAGCATTGTGCCTGCATGAATGTAATGCTTGGTCTCACGCATTAATTATGTGATTCTCTTGTGCAACATATCCTCACCTGCATGAGGCACAGAATGTTGCTTCTCCCAAGAAGAACCTGGATCCAATGTTCGCCGAGACTTTGCAAGCCCCGCGGACCCCTGTTGGTTCCTCTGCTCCGCCTACACCTTCTTCTACGGTGCCTGGTGATCTTAGTGATATCAGATCCCGAGCCCCAAGCCTGACCAGGTCTGAAAAGTCCCAAGAAACCTCAACCTCCAAGCGTTCCCGCCAGAGCTCTACGGAGTTCAAGCCTATCAAGAAGGAGAAGCAACCCCGCCCCAAGCCACCTTCTGATGCAGCGCGTTCATCTGCTGACACCGCACCTGTTCATAGGCCGCAAGCAGTGCAAGAGGGTAGTGATTCTTGAAACAAGGGCTGTTTTGAGCGGTCTAATGGATGTGTTAATGTATATAGGGGTATATGGGGTTTAAAAGGGCTTGGGGTTGTGGGTAATTCTGGTTTACAGGGCTGATAGGGTGTTATATGGGTTATAGGGTTGCATTAAATTAGCTAAGGATCAGGGAGACCAACTGGCCGCCCTGCAGAAAGAGCAGGCAGAGCTTGCGAGGAAGCAAGCTGACTTGAACCGCAAGCTTGAACTGCTGAAGCAAGGCAAGGTTCCAGCTCCCAGCACCCCGAAGCCAAGCAAACCTGCTGCCCCCAAGTCAAGCGCAGTTCCGACTGAGCCTGGGTCGAGCGCAGCAGGGTCTTCAGACGAGGAGGCCAGCAACGCATCCTGTGGCGAGGAATGCGAGGCTGATGACTTCGGTTTGGGTGTTGTTCATTGCCCAAAGACTGGGAGGGTTGCTTGATTGCACTTTGGACTTGGTCTGCCAAACTAGCATGCGCACTATGAACGTAAATGAACACATGCCTGCAGGAATAAGTAATCCCCTGGCATATTTAGAACAAACCTGACTGAGGAATTGAGTAATGCTGCTTTGGCCCAACGTCTTCGACGCCTGTGTTCCAGGCACAAGAGTGGGAAGGTACCGGGTGGAGAAGAAGCTCATGAGCTCTACAAGGACCTCACGAAACGCAATAGCCTTGCTAAGCTCATGGTAGATGCGAAGTTCAACAAGGCTCGGTCCACAAGAATTGAATGTTCTTCTCTGGCAGTCCTTAATTGATCTGAGCTTGTCTAAAGATGTATATGGCCCGTCATTAACCATGATCGCGCCCTGACCAGAAAAACTTCGGCACGCTTGTCAAGAAAGAGATTACCAAGCTGAAGAACAAGACCCTGACAGTTGATGCCGGCTGGTACACAGAACAAGAAATGCGGGATACCTTAGGTTACGATGCGACCCTTGCCTTTTGAAATGTAGATTCGATCAGTTCAAGGAACCCTGCAAACCCAATAAAACCCTGTTGAGAGCTCAGGAAGACGATCAAGAAGATCGTCGAGTTCACGAGCAAACATCCCAAAAAGCTTCAGCGGTCGCCTGGCTAAAAACTATATAGAATTCTACAGCTCATAAACCCCATGCAAATCTTTGTCACAAATGACGCCCGGTACATTTCACTTTACACCACTGGAGACATCAAGCTTTCCTGCGTTGAATCGACCCCTCCTTCCCCGGCAAAAGGCTCTATGAATCTATGAATCCTGTACAACCCTGACCAAACTCTACAAGCCCATAAGCCCCCCAGATTGGCCTACACACCACTCATACCAAGGAAGTGGAAGTACGATGAGGCTGTCATCCAACATTGGGTGGAGACCCGATCGTCAGGGCAGCTGATGACATTGCATGAGGAGAAGGAGAAACATGAAACTTCACATGAAGGTGATGCTATGCCGACCCTTGACTTGTCCTTGGACAACGGGCCTGGCGACACCGAAGATCGCCCAAGCGAAGCTGAAGCCCCTGTTGATGTGGCTGGTCATGATCAGGTGTCAGGAACCTATATAGGGAAACATTCCTCTGATTTGAGCTCTGCGTGGCAGTTCAATTAAGTTCTCGATCACTATAAGGATGTTCGTGGCAGCCTCGAAAGGGGTTGGGCAGAGATGCTGAGCAAAATCCACCGCCTCCGCGAGCACGCAGACATCTTCCTCAACCAGGATCCCGAGCCCAGCGACCTCCACAAGAGGCTGTGTGGGCTTGCTACATGATGCGTTGAACGGTCTCGAGCTTTTAATGGTTTCATGTAACATGCCCTATGCGAAGCAGCTCAGGCACGCAGAATCTCTCATGAAGCACGCGGATGCTATGGAGCAGCACTATGACAAGATGTCTCTTCTCAAAGCTACTGCCGCTATCCGCGTCTCAGACAAGCCCCTAGGACCACTATGTTTGCTGAGAGCATGGCCACAGCCGGGATGTTGATGCTGCGTGACTTTTCCAACATGGCCTGCCAAGGTTGAAGACGGAGATCCAGATTGGCATTGACACAGCCTCTGTTCTGTGGCCTAGCTTCACTTATATACTCTATATTTGATTCAGCCTATGCTGCCAATTGCCCTGCTGGGAGTACATCATCTCAGGGCCTGCCAATCCGTGAGCTTGGAGAGCAAGATGGCACCTGCGCTTGCTGACGCGAAGAAGCATCAGAAGCCGAAGGTTTCGGATAAAGTTCCAGCCCCCAAGGCCGCCCCAAAGGGTAAAGCGAAGGCGAAGGGGAAGTCAAAGGCAAAAGCCAAGGCCAAGGCGAGCTGAAGCTGAGTCAAGGCCCACAAATTTGGGTGTGGCAGGAGATGCTAGGTAATTGCATGCCCATGAAGCTGGTCTACACGGCTTTGAATTGATCTATGCCAAAACGGGGAACCCTGATAACCTGCATGGGGATGGGGGCATGCTGAACACGTGGCATTCCTGCTACGTTGGGATTCTGGTTTTGAATCTCAACCAATTTGTCTTCAATGGTTCCTAGCTAGAGTACGACCTCAAAGTTTTTCTGAAAGCTTGAGTGTCACAGACCTGCAAAGGGCGAAGCACTCATGGCAAGCGCGCAAAAGGAATTCTTGGAGCATATGCCTCCGATCTTCTATATGGGAACTTCAATGACTCTCTGATGTATAGGCCACATATAATCTAAACCCATCAGCCCTGACTTGCCAGGTCAGTTGGGGAGATTTGGCAGAGAAGCGGCCAAACAGCTTGTTCGCGGCGCCCGGTCCCAAGGAAACACCTGCGTGGCGCGTCACTTCAAAGATCTGTGTTCTCGTGTGGGGTTGCCCGCGCTACATGTTGCAAGCTTTCAAAAGCTGGCTTGGTGACGCGCAGTGTTTGGCTGTGAGTTGATCCGAGCACTCTAGGGGCTTACCAGTCTGCCACGCTGTATGGATGAGTGGCTTGAAGAGCTTTTAGTCTTCCACGAAAAGAAGCTCCTTGGATTAAATTCGCACCATGGGTTTCATCCAAATATAGCTTTTGACAAACATGCGTGAGCCTTGAGGAGTGTCGATGGCCACCAATCCACTGCTGGCAGAGCCTGGGCTCAGGTAAGTACATTTCTTGGGCCCTGCAAGTCCTGCGTGAAAGGGTGAGCTGGGTAATCCTCTAAGGCGACTGTGGAAGGAATGCTTTGAATGCGGTGCACTGGAAACATCACAAGTACTTCGATGCTCTTACCCTGTCACTTCCTCGTTTGGCTACCGTGTGGCACCAAATGCTGTCTCAGAAGGACGTCTTCAAGGTTGCCCTCCCAGAAATATCCTTGGGCAAGACACCTGGAATCGTTTTTCAGCATGCGGAGTCCATGATGGACGTGGTACCTTGGCTCTGAAACATTCCTTTCTGAGAACAAGTATGAGGGAATCAGAATCATGATTGCCAGCCATTCAGGTTCTCTGCGGGAAGGTCATGATGTACAAGATTGGTTTTACGCACGATCCTCCTACCAGGATGCAAGGCTACCTGAAGGAGGGATATCAGCGCATGCACTTGCTATGTGTTTCATCTACCAGCATGCTGTGCAAGTGCCTAGAAGCTCATTTGATTCGCTTGTACAGAAAGCGGCAAGGATGCCAAAACGAAGTTTTGGGTGGGGAGGGCCCGGACCACTTCGATGGCCCATATTTTGTTTACCTTGCCATCAAACTGCTGGCATACAATTAAGCAGCTATCCGGATTTCATCTGTGGTTGCATGTGGCTACATGAAGAAAAAATGGGTTTCTGCTCTGGGAGCATCTAGTTCTGCTGACCGCGCAATAGATGCGGTTTTGGATGGTTTGGCTCGGGCTGCGCCAAATCGGTTGGAGGATCAGGGTCACAAATTGCGACTGAGCTGCAATGATACGAATCAGGATGATGGCCAGCGCAACAATGCTCCCAAAGGGCTGATAAGGTTTTTCAAGCCTTTTGAGTCGATAGGGTTTACTGGGTTTGTAGGCTATACGGGGCTACGTAGACTTGTATAAGGCTTCTACAAATTTACCCTATATAATATGTATATAGGGCTAGGCGATACAAAGCTCTATAGGGCTTGCAGGCGATTGTTGTTCATGGTGGAGGTAAGGTTTATATAGGGCTTTTATAAGACATATAAGGGGGTATATATATATATAATGTTCTGACCGAATTTATGGGCTTTCTATGGGGCTTCGATATATGCTTTCCATGCCTGAGGTCATGGTTTCACGGGGTCATATTTTTCTTTCCTAGGATTAACCCAGCTCAGGTTTACAGAGTTTGGCTTGGCCTTAGACGTTCCTATCACCTACATCGATGTGGGCTGCAAGAAGCAAAATATGCCAATGATCAAGCCATCTGACTTTTACTTGCACCTAGCGGAACTACAGAAGCTGGACATTCTGTATGGCTGTCAGGATTCAACCGTGCTTACTGAGTTCTGGAGGCGTTTCGCTGTCATTGAGCCAATGAACAGCATCATCGATTCGTTTCATGCAGGTATTCTTCCCCCGGAGCGCACTATACCGATGGTGATTCACGGGGACGAGGGCAGAGCCCGGAAGCACCTTCCCATAATGATTGTCAATTCCCACGGTCTCATTGGAAACGGCTGCAAGGCTTTGGAGGAATGGCACAAGCAGTCACCTATGCTTAAGGAGGCAAGCATGGCTGTCAACTTAAAAGGCTCTTCTATGGCTACACGTTTCCTGGCGTTTGCAATGCCAAAGCAAGCTTATGGCAAGGATTCCGAGTACCTACACAAAATGTTTGATGAGCTTGTGGCGGATTTGGTGAGCTTACAGAACATCGGGATTCTTGTTGCTGGACAGCGGTGGCATCCCGTAGTCATTGGCATGGTCGGAGACCTTCAATTCTTCGCAAAAATGGGAAGGCTTACCAGATCTTTCAGTCACGTCTCAAAAAGAACAGGCCAAAGAGCACATAACGGGATATGCCATCTCTGTTTGGCTGGCCAGGCGAATTATGCTTTTGAAGACTGTTCGGACGATCCAGGCTGGTATGCAACTCTTGGAGCGGAAAGCCCTTGGACTGAAGCCCCGACCTTTGTGCGGCGCCTGCACAACGACACTTCCAATCCGGCCGGCTTCATGAAGCTCGACATTTTTCATTGCCTTCATATGGGGGCAGGAAAGATCTTCCTGGCGAGCTGCGTCGCAGAATGGCTGCCATTTGTTCCAGGCCAGCTGTGGTTGAATAATTTCTTAATTGGAAGCACAGTGAAAACATTTGCCGGTACCTATTTCAAATTCTGATGAACAACGAATTCCTTTTCTTTTGCCAAATTTAATGACTTCAATTTCCTCATTTCCCTACATACGGCCACATACTGGTAGCCCCTGGTACAGCAACTAAATCAATGTGATTTAAGGCCGGATCACTTAGGCTTGCTACTACATGGCTTCTTAATTCCCACTGAAGGAGACAATGTGCCAGAGCGCTTCGCTTACCTTGACCGCCATGCCAAGCAGTATCTTCAACGACACAACAAGAAGCTATACTGCAGTGGGGTCAACGAGGTGACGATGGGATTTGAGTCGTTGCAAAAGTGCCCACAGGGATCGTGGCAAAAGGGCTCAGATACCACTCTCTTGTTGGAGATCTTTGAGGACTTTTGCGATCAGCACAGCGAGCTGGCTGGCCAGCACGAAGTCTTGCGATGGACGTATACTGGAGTGGCGAACATCAACATGAGCATGAGGACACTGTATCGAGGCGGTCTCTGGTTGGATCAGCATCATGCGCGAACAGCATCGATCTGCGGCCTCAACTTTCTTAAGGCCTATGCACACCTTGTTGGCATCACCGTCGCATGCGGTCGAGATAGATTCCCCCTGGTGCCAAAACTGCATTTTCTGCACCATCTGTTTTTATCCTTGAAAGAATCTTCATTTCGCCGCACCTGGTCGCTGAACATGATAGCGACCAGCGTTCAAATGGATGAGGAGCCTAGTCAACTCCTAGAACGATTTCTCACAAAAGAATTTAACATCTACAGGGCCCCGCAGGAATTATTGTATATAAGAGTCCATCAAGCTGAGGATTTCGTTGGAATCCAAGCGAGAACTTCGCGCAGATGCGGAGCGCAGCATACGGCCCTTCGAGTCACACAACGATACCTGGTTTATGCTGCAGAGAAGCTGACCCCAGAGTTTGCGGAGTGCCCGTGAAAAGTTCTTGACGCAGCAAAGCTAGGGTCTGTATAGTCCCCTTTAGAAGATAGAATATGGCTTTAATTGGGTATATATTATGATAATATCCCCATATACCTCGATCATGCATATTCTATCTACTGAAGCGGGACTATATGAGGCTTTCAGGGGCCCAGGGACCACCAATACAATGCTGTCAAAGGCCTTTTCAGCTTCCAAACGGCCCTTCGAAATTCCTTGTAACCATGAGTCTGCAGGCCTCCATACTAAGCCATCAAAATCCGTACTGGCGATACTTTTTTTCCGTACTCAAGAAAAAGTATCTCTAAAGGCCAGAAGAGAAAAAAGTATCCCACTGCACTTACTGGTAAACCTAATGGCGCACCCCCCACCCAGACCCTAGATTTTTGCATGAGGCTACCGGTAAGCTCTTCAAATTCCTTCTTGTGCGCATCTACGAGGGGGAAAAATGTAGTAGTAGAATATCATCAACATGGTAGTGTACTTCAGGTATTTCCACATCAACAGCCCTCAACTTGCCACATTCCACATCCCACATCTTCACATTTGCAGCCCTCGACTTTCCACATTCCACATTTCCACATGTTCGCATTTCCTCGTTTCCACATTTCCACCCTCCAGCTCCTTTTTTCTAAACATGGGGGCTGCAAATATGGAAACGTGGGAAGTTGAGGGTTGCAAATGTGGAAGCGGAAAGTTAGGTTGTCGAAATGTGGAAATATGGAACCTCAAAGAGTCTAAATCTTGAAAAGTGACCTTATGGGAATCCTGGAGATATAGAAGAATAGGAATATGGAATTCCAACTACTTTTTGTCAACAAGATTGTGGTTTGAAGGAAAAGGTTCACTGAAATCCAACATTGACCTTAACTCAGTAATGCTGCAATGCTTGTTTTTCCGATTTGTTTCTACTATAGAAACCTAATGAAAACCATGGTTTTGACTGAGGATATTTGAACTGAATCACTTTGGAATGATCTTGATACCCACTCTGTGTCGCTTACAAGCCTGATAAGGATTTCGATATCAAAGACCACAGCTCATGGTAAGGTTCCAGAACAAGGATCTTTTATATGAACTCCTAAAGGGGGTGCAACATAAAGCATGCAAGCAAGACTTTCCGTTAAACCAGTGAAGCACTATTTTTAGTGATGTTTTAAAGAACCATGTCATAAACTCAGTCAAAGACACAATACACAAGCGACACCATTAAGTAGAACCCTTGAAATCCCCAATCCTGTTCGCTTAAATCCTTTCCTGATAATAGTCGAACTCAGCTCATTATGCATGTGTTCCCCTGGGGAAACCCAATAAGAGCCTGATTACAAGTTTAATCAGATCTCCTGATTGAGATTTTTTAGAAAGAGTTCTCACTAGGAGAAAGAAAGATACTTATGGACCTCTGTTAGAAATTCTCAATGGGAGCTCCACTGCTAATCTGCATAAGGAGTATATCCAGAAGAACCTATAGAAAACAATCCGAACGAAATCCAATAAAATTCAGGATTTCCTTATTGTGAATCAAACCAAACATTTCCACAGATAAGAGAACCACATTTCACAAGCCCACTCAAAGAAACAAAATGCAACTAACACAATTAAACAGAACTTATGAAATCCCCAATCCTAGTCACTTAGGTTCATTCCTGATGTTTGAGGTCGGTTCATTGTTCATTTATCCCCCCTGGCAATCCCATTAGAGCCTGAGTACAAGTTTGACCAGATATATCATTGCTCAGAACTTAAATCAGGATATATCAGGATACTCACTAGGAGACGGAAGGCTACTTATGGATCTTTGCTAGGCAGTTTTCCATGGGAGCAGTACTGTTGATCTGTACTAGGAGCATCTTAAATCAGGATGTCCCTACCGATTTCACCGGCTTGTAAGCTAGAGCGTACATCAAAAATCATTCCAAGGCGATTTACCCAAGTTATGGATTTCCTTGAGCTCAATCGAAATCATGATTTTCATTTGGCTTCTATACTAGAATCCAACTTAAACTAAAGCAAGCATGAGTTCAGCTGAGTGTTGGATTTCTGGGAAATCTTAATTTTCCTACAAAAGCATAACCATTTTGACAAAAATGTTTGAAATCTGTTCTTCAATTCTCCGGGATTCCTATATGGTCACGTTTCAGTATCTAGACATTTAGACTCTTTGCGTTCCATATTTCCACATCTTTCCACATTTCCATATTTGCAGCCCCCATGTTTCCAGTAGAAAGAGGTGCAGTAGAAAGAGGTGGAGGGTGGACATGTGGAAAGTTGAGGGCTGCAAATGCGGAAATGCGGAATGTGAAGCGGACATGTGAAATGTGGGAATGTAGACGTGTAGAAATGTGGCAAGCTAAGGATGCACATCTAGAATATCAGAAATTTGGATTCGCTTTTGATTGAATGTTGGAGGCGTACAGAAAAGAGACCCATCGCCCACATCCAGGGTCAGAGGTAAAGCCTGCCTCTCCTGCGGGTTACCTTATATAGATGAAGACGTATAGAAATGTAGCACGAATGCATTCATGTCATGCAAACCAATCATGTGTGCAACATGCCCCGCTACTCGTCAAGAGGGACATCTCAGGGCCCGGCTCTCCACCAACATGCTTGGCATGCTTGGTGACTCGAGCAGAGCATCTTAGCTGATCGGCTCCCCTCTGATACAGGCGGCTTTCTGCTGCACGTGACGCAAAATCCTACACTCACTTCAAGGCCTGTTTTCGAACTCGTGACCATTCGAGAAGCCACGGGTACGAGATTCTGCATGATAGCATGGACGAGGGCAGCTAATTGCGCCACACCACGTCAAGCAAGCGCAGAGATATAGTGAAGTCGGTGTGTGTTGTGTTTGTCAAAGTTGGCAAATCTGCCACAAGCTTGGCCTGGGCGGTAGTTTCACCGCAGCCAGCAGAATGTGTTCATCTTCATTCTTCGATTTCTTCGATGCTGACCAGATCTGCTGCAAGCTGGGCGGCAGTTTCACCGCCACCGGCACAAATGTCGAAGGCACAGTCGGCTAAGAAATTCTTTAGCGCTGCATCATTTCCTGTTTTTGCCAAATGCTTGTTGCACATTTCAACAGCCTTGGTCTCCTCTTGAGTTGTACAACCATTCACAGATGCCAAGCTCAGTTGCGCTCGCAGTTGCGTCGATGCAAAATACGTTGCAGCTTCCTCACTTCCACCCAACTTTCTCCAGCTTGAGTCCTCCGCAAACTCCGTGTCCTTTGCCACGAAACTCACTCCTCTACCTTGCTTGGAAGGAACCTGTCAGAGAAGAGTGGCCAGCAAGAGCCAGTTCTCCCTTCACGAAGCGGTTCTGCGCCACGCTTGACATTTTCAGCTTGGCTGCGAGGTGATGACCTGACTTGCAGGCCACCCATAGCTGTGCAATCCTTATCAATCCACCTTGTGTGCCCATCAAAAGCTGCACGCTCTGCAGGAAGTTGTTTCCTGGAGCTCCTTTTCTTGACTTCGTCATGTTGAAAGCACCGAAGATAGCACCATCAGCATCTGCCAGATTCTGGAAGAGACCGACCAACTCCGTTGACTTATTGGATCCATCTGGGAATTGGAACGTTCGCCAGCTGTCATGCCCCGTTTTGGTTTTCCAGGCACAGTTCTCAGACGTGAGCTCCAAAGAATGACGCGGCTCTCCGGCCGAGTTGTCAACCAAGAGAATGCCTTTCGCCCAGGACGCAAGCCCTGCGTAGTGAGCGTAGATGCGGAAATCTAGCGGAATCTTCTTCATGAGGCCCTTCGCTGATGTAACTTCGGCTTTTGAAACCGGACAAACCCCAGAGTAACAAGTTCCCTTGCGCTCTCACTGTATAGCTCCGTCCGTCCAAGGTCGTGATGTGTGGATCGCCGACCATTCCGCCCCCTGTGGAGCAAGCGGAGCAGTCAGGTGGATCCGCCAAGCCACGGTCGCAAAAGGCCGATGGAGTCCCATCCTTTTCAGTCGGGGACGGGGAAACTATATTTCAATGCCGACGCGCATCCGAACAACATTTGGGGTGCATGTGTTTAAACACGTGTGCTTGGACTCTTGGGTTGATTCTCTGGTTGTATGTGTTCCCAGCCACCTAACCCCCCTCCTGAGAATGCGTCACCCGGGCTTTGGGCCGAATCCAGCTTTTCTTGATTTCTGGTCATTTTGTAGGTGGCTGGGGTCCTCCGGCGGGCTACCTGCTGGTCGTCCCACCATCCTTTTTCTCGCCCTGGGCCCCACCAGAATCCCAGCTTCCATTGGGGGGCTGGGAATGAAATTACAGTTTCTCTCTTGGGGCAATCCCCAAGGAAGATGGTAGCCTGGTAGTCGGAAGGAACGGCAAGATTGGCAAACGATCAAAGATGCACCTCTCAAAACAAGCTTTCCGCAAAGTCTCCTAGCGCAAGGGTCTCCACAAGCTCAGGGTTTTAACCTGTTTTGACGAGGGCGCTTACACATGTACTTTGTGGGGCCTCCCAACAAAGCTCCCAAAGCAAGGGCTTTTCCACATTTGGAGAAGGCACGATCTCTTACAGGCCTCTCAGAGACCTCTCAAAACCCTCTGAAAGGAGGTTCGTGACCAACAACGGAGATGTCCTTACAACTTGCGGAATCACCGAACATTGCTAAAACATGTGTTCCCCAATGCTTAAACATGTGGAAACGAATCCTTATGCAGCCTTACGAACAGGTGCTGAACAGCAGTTGCCACCAGAAAAGCTGTAACACATCTACGCTGCCCGGACTTGCTGAAACAAAGTTTCTCTCAACAAGGCATGCTCAAACGAGTTTTCTGAAACAACGGGGAAATGTGTTTAGCCGACCCTGCCTTCTTGCAAATGTTTGGACCACATGGGGCTTCTGTCGACGGCTCATTGCAGCTCAAAGTCCCCACCAGGTTGCTGCAGCCAGGGCCACTGCAGAAGCAGGAATTTCCACTGGAGTCATCATTCACCGCCATCCCGCCGCAACTAATACTGTCTTCGCACCGAATGTGGATACACGATGATCCACTCAAAGAGATCACTGAATTGTTGCAAGTGTTGAAGGCACATTGCAGCTCTACATTGCCAGCATTGAAGGACATCTGGCTCTCTTCGCATGGCTGTGCGAAGGGTTCACGGGGACTACCGGCGTCCAGGCATTGGACGCAGTGCGATCCTGGTTCCGAAGATTCGGAGGAGAAACTGAAATTGCCCTGCCGACATGCGACGGGCCGAGAACAGAACAAGTCTTTCGACAAAGACATGTTGGCCTGTTCATAGGCATTGAAATCGCGACAGGCTGCTGAGCGCACTCCGGAAATGATGGTTCCAGCACTGCATGAACGGATGCCTCGGCAACAAACATCCTGGTGACAGTTGGGATTGCCCGGCACAAGGACAAATTCATTGGGTACAACCGTGCGATCATCGCTCCGACACGCTTGATTTCCATCGCAGCAAAGAGCTGAAAAGTTCTTTAGTCGCCAACCGAAGCAAGCTGAAGGGCCTGTGCACTGCAAATAATTGTTTCGGTTCTGAAAGCTGTAGGAGAATGGAATATCACGTTGGATGGTACAGGTTGCAGCTTCGTTGATTGGAGGTGGATCGTTTACACACAGGAGGAGGCCATTGGGAAAGCCGTTGGTGTCATTGCTGGGGATCTTCTGGCCATCTTCAGGAGGCTCACTCTTTGGAGATAAACGATATCATCAGCAACGCAGAAGTCAGGTTCGGCAAAACCGGCTGCCTGCACAGTAACCAAAGAACCGACTATGGCCGCTCTCCACGACCGCCAAAACATGGCGCTTGCACTGGACCTTTTGCCACCCATCAGATGACCATAATTATTGAACCTGTTTAGGCTAGCTGCCAAGAGCCAAAAGACCAGTTATGTGTGCGCGTGTGTGAGCGCATGTTTGCCAATCCTTAAGGGTGCACTGAACAGAATCACTTTGCCAAGATGGGCCTATGGGTCCAGCCTGCCAGCGAGTTGACTCTTTCTAGTACCAACCGCAACCGCAACACCTGCGCCTAGCAATGTAGCAAGACTGGTACTGTTGCGGAAGCGTTTTGAATCCCGATAGCCTGAGTCCTGAGTGCACTGAGCGCCTAACCCAAGAAGGTTCTGCAGGCCTGCCCTCACACTAGCGCAGACCTGCTAGGGGGAAAAAGTCATTCTTGAGGGATGAGATGAGGCACGGGTTGGTGTGAAGTGCAGGCACAGCCTGCACTGGGAGTCACCCGCAAAACAATACGAAGTACTCGTAGAAGAAGTGATCATCTCAGTGAGCGCTATTTCCCATACGACCCACATCGACCCACACCCGATGAACCTTCAGAGAATTTCCGCGTTCTGTGCTTGGACAACAACAAATCACAGAAGTGCTTACAAGGTTAAGTTCTGGAGACTTCAAAAACTCCAAGTCTTCCGCGTCCCAGCGCAACATGTCACTGTCAATCAAGGGATGTCAGCTGAGAGGCTTTCACGTGGAATCCATGAGCTCCAGGGTTCCTCTACTTACCCGGACATATTTCTCAGGGAATCGCTCACCGTGGAGCAGCCTTTTTGTGTGAAACCAAGTCTGGCCTTAAAGCTTGTGCGGCAGTTGTCCTGAGGGGCCTCAGGTTGAGCACGAAATCCGAAGCGGTTCGAAACTCCAACAGAGCTCAGCTAGACGCCATCAGAGTTTTCGGTGCAACAGGCTGGGACCAGCGGCTGGGAATGCCATGAGCTCAAAAGCCGCGCGGCCATCGGAAGCCTGCTCCAGGAATGATCGGATGAGAGCTTTGGTGCAGATCATGCTGGCAATCGACCCTCCAGCCTGGACTTGTCAATATCTTCGATGACCTTTATGATACTTCCAGCTTTGTCCACGCACACTCGCGGAGGGAAGGTGTTCTTTGGCGCGTGGCACGTGGCAGATGTCATGATGCTTGTCTTGTCACGTGCTCGCAGCCTAGCACAAACTCTATCCGCTCAAGCGCTGCGGACAACCACCCTCTTTTGGGTGAACCGCTAGGAGCTGTCTCAAGCCTAAGCTGGATAAAACATGTTTATCATTTGTGGCGCAGCCGGCCTTAAAGCGAAACTTGCCAATCGGGCAGTCTGGCAGGGCACAAAACAAGCTGGAAGCAGGTCATGACGGTCGCAGCAGCAAAAAAGGCAAACAAAGGCCTGGCGAGTTCTGTTGAGGCTGGACAACAGGTCACCTGCAGCAGGCAAAGTCCAAGATACAGTCTGAAGTTTTGAGAAGTCATCGGATTGGCAAGTGGCGCTCCCTCCCAGCCTCGGAGTCTGCTGGAAGACCGAGGCTGCAATCATCACGAGGAGAAGCGCAAACATGCCAAAGACCCGCACTCGATGTCTGCTAGAACCGAACTGTCATAACTGTCACAAACATACACATGGCATAGCATGCATGTCATCTATGAACTGCAAATGCTCTCAGCTACAGCCACAAGTGGATCACTTGTGCAGCCACGTGTCAGATTGGATGAGATATGTACGCATCTGACTCGCCACTGAGTTTCAGTTCTGGGGTGTAGCGTGCAGTGGGGAAAGACGGACACCGGCAGACAGCCCCTGTCTTTTCTTTTTCTCGCCAGACTGCTGTCTCCAGAGTCTGCGAATCCGATTCGGATGCCAACCCCAGAGGAGACTTTGCTACTTTTTCTGGAGGCCCCAAAGTGAGGTCTCCTCCAAACATCTCCACGCATCCCATGGGAACCCAAACACCCTGATCCACTGAAGCAGATTCTCTGTCTTCATAAACATGCTCACAGCTTACAATTTCACTGACTTCCCCGCTTAAGGCTAAGGCTGTACAGGTCAGACTCCATAAGTCTCAGAATGTCATCTCATCAGCCTGCAGCAGAGTCAGCACACATGAGCAAAGCCGGATCATGCCATAAAGCCTCGCTCAGACACCAGAAAGATCTTGGACACCTCAGAATCAAAGCTCCAAGAACTTCCGTTGCTGTCTACTTTGCACATTACGTCAGCTCCGGGCCATAGCATCCAGCTGCAAGAGGTTCTGGGCACCCGCTGTAACCCGCGCGTGCGCAAGGCCAATCTGCAAGTTCCCCCCCCCGCCCAGCAAAGTTGTTGTCAGCATCGTCTGCACGCTGAGTTGTCTGGCCTCCTTCAGCCATTCCAGCTTGATGTGCTCTGGGGCCTCCATCTGCTTGGCAACCCGCCTGAACAGAGCTGCTTCCTCCCGAAGGCTGACCCTTCAACAGCTTTCGAAACTTCTCTCTGCGGCCCCAGCGAGAAGGTTGAGATGATGTCTGTGGTGCTGTAGCCCTGGTTCCAGATCTCGTGCATCGGCCCGAAGGTCCCCTGCAAAGAACGAGTGGTGGAGTTGGGAGCCATTGGAGCCATTGTGGGGACCTTCCTGCCTTGAGATCCTTCTTCAAGCTGGCATCCAGGCAACTCTTCACCTTCTCCGGCTGCGGCTGGTCGTTCATCCTGTGAATTAACGTGGCAGCATGAGAAACCCACGACTCGCAATGAGCGGGAAGACTCTGAAGCCGGGACCTGAAGACCGTCCCCTTGTTAATCTCCCCAAAGGCGTTAAAGGTTGACCTCGGCATCAGCATTATCTAGATCGATCTAGATCGGTACATGCAGTCGTTTCAGAAACGCACGGCGAAAGAGCCGAGTGGCTCAACAAATTGGGCATCGAATTGGCAAAATGTTTTGGCATGAGCTGCGCACTGCCAGACTTGTCCACTCCAACAGACCCTTCGCTTTAAGAGGGACTTGCCCGGCCCAACTGCCTAGGGATTGGCTTCCGCTCTTGCAGGCAATCTCTCTCCTCCCAAGCCTGTGAAATTCTGAAAACAGCTTCCAACTGGCACCTTCTCCTGAACATCTGCTGGCCCTTAAAGGAAAGCCATCTGAGCTCCTCTGCTTTTCTGCTTTGGGGCTGTGGCTGCGCGCCGTTCAGCGCGTTCCGCATGTCGCCCTCGGCGGCGAAAGCGAGAGCTTCCAGGCCCGACTGGTCGTACCTCTGCAGCTCCCTCGAAACACCAGGGTCTGCCATTCCCCGTGCCTGGGTAGGCACCAAGAGCATTGAACCCCAGACATTATGCTATGGATCCTTGGCACATGCTGTTGATGACCTGTCACCTTCAACAATCTTTTGACCTGGCATGACTGCTAAGCTTGTAGAATTGTTCTGAGGGCACGTGGCGCTCTCCTTCTCCAAGACCAGCCTCAATCTCTGAAGCATGTCCTGCCAAGTCTGCCAAGCACTCTGCGGGCACCATTGTGGGCTGGACAGTTGCAGCAACACCCATTGCCCTCGAAACAGCAGAATTACACTACTGCCAGGAGCATCCTCGTCGGAGATTCGACTAAAGCGGAGGATCGCGCAGCGGGACCTCAGCTTTGTTCCTTCAGTCAGTACCAACATCATCTCAATTGAGATGTGTTGGTCGCCGCCGCTGTTGATGATTGTGACGTTGTTGACTGCGCTGAAGAAGATGGTGATGCTGCTGCTCTTGCTTTTGCCGTCGCTGCTGCTGCTTGTGCAAGAAGTGACCAGCGCGATGGTAAGAAAAATCGTACTGGACACGCTGCCAATGATCATGAACACAATCATAGAACCCTATGCCTACACTTCCAGATATGTCTTGACTCACGTGCGCAGACCGCAAAAAATGAAGTACGGTGCAACACTGAAGCTCTAAAGAATGACCACTACATACTTCAACATCCACCGGCTGATGTTGGCAAAAGCTTTAATATAAGAACGTACCACATGTCCTTCAGCGCCTGCCATCCAAACACGTGATAACTCTATACTGCTCTCAAGACGGAGGCATCGGCGCCTGAAGTCAAAGGTGTCATGAGCCCATGCATTTCGGGATTCTGGCTGGATGGGCTCAATGATCTTCGAGGAAATATTGCAGGCCAGGGCAAAACGTGTTGACTCGCCTCAGTGTTTGAAATTTTCGCAGGGCCCATCCTCTTGGATGCCAACAAGTCAGTCAGGAAGCGATATTCCAAGCGAGCATCTGGGCAATTTGCAAAATCTAAGGTCATGTTTTGGGCAAGCAGAGTACCTGCTGCCTCATCATGGACTGTGTCTCTCATACCTGAAATTGCCCATTTACTCTGCGTGCCCGACTGAAAATCTCCATCGTCCGGCGCATGGCCTATGAAAGATTGGCGTTTGCATGCACCGCCTGCATATCCGAAATAGCGCATGCTTTTTACTTATGCCTCTGGGAACTCTCTCGCTCTCTCCTGACCACATCTTAAACCACAATGCAAAACTCAATTTTGATTTAGACACAGAAGCATCAAAGCTAGGCAGCATCAAGCTGAACGTCTAGGTCCACAACACGGTGCCGGCCATACTGGAGTCGCCAAAAATGCTTGTGACAATTGTGACATCTTGTGCCTAATGCTAACATCTTGCCTCTGCTTACTATTCACATCGACGTTGCTTACTGCCGGAATCATCGCTTCTCCAACCATGGCTGTCCATTATTCCTCAAGTTGGCATACAATTTTCTTTCTGCGTTGAAATCTGGCCACCCGCGTGCATGGAAAACATAGCCCCCGCCTGCTGCGCAGCCTGTGTCATGCTGTCGGCCTCATCCAAAATGATTACCTGACAGAGGGATGCCATCCTAACAGCATTACATGCTGGCTTAGACCTCCTTAACGGCATGGGCTTCATACGGACCATGTGACCATGAAGGCTGCACGCAAACTGTTGCAAGTGTAGCATTTCAGGATTGCCGGCGACATGAAACCAGATCAACAATGGCGCCTTGAGCTTTCCCTCTGGCAGGGTGACTTTCTGATGTGCAAAGCCCTGGCATGGCAAAACAGAAACGCGGACTGACTATGTCTTTGTGGCCGGCAGCGCCTTGATCTTTTCACGCACAACATCTATGCCTCTGTCATCTGAGGCATTCAGCTCGATGCACCCCTGCTCGTAGTGCTCCCCGAGATGCTCCCTGAGGCCGGGCAAGGTGTTCAAAGAAATTGCAAAAAAATGGCAATTCGAGCTCAGCCGAGCTCAGCCTGGCAAGGCAATGGACCACAGTGGTCTTGCCACATCCAGGCGGGCCAGTGAGGAGCAAGTGAGGAAAGGTACCTGCGCAGTGCTGAACATCCCGTTCGCAACGTTTATCACACTCGCCGCACCCTCTGCCTGCGGTCGCGTGAGATCTCAGGATCGTAACAGCACCAGAGTTGCCGACCACATCCTCGCAGCAGGGACATCTCTACCAACGAGCAAGCAAAGCATCATCCAAGAAGGGCCTCGAACTTGATGGGTCGGTACTTCTCCAGCCATATCTCTGGCATGGCCTTCAAAACAAGCAAGTGCATTGGACAGATGCCCTTGCCAAAGTGTCGATGAATTCCTACTTGTTCGGATCCGAATAGCTCTCCGCTAACCGCAGCTCCAAACCTCGTCAGCCAGGAGGTGCCGTGGATCCCAAGCCAACCGCCACTCCTAAACCTACAAAGATTTTCCTGGGAACCGCGAGGGTGCGTGGGCAACAGCACAATGCATCTTTGCAAATGTGACTCGACAGTGATGAATGCAGAAACACGCAATGTCTTTGGCTGGCTCATGCTTAGGTGCAGATGTCAACCAACTATGTAAGCTAATATGTATGGAAGTTTGATGCTCCTGCCAATTTTTTGTGGATTCGGCTTTGGCTACCAAGCTTAAACATGCCACTGTTGAGTGTGTACATGAATCTGTGCAGAGGCTCTCGGTTCAACGTCTTTCAGACTGAAGGTCTGACATTTTCGTTCAGATTTTTTTTTTCGGCTAGGGCGCGGCCCGTAGCTGAAAGCGCAAGGAAGTTCAATCTTGGCTGTTGCCAAGGACAAGAAGGAAGTTCAATCTTGGCTGTTGCCGAGGGTAGCAACAGCTCGCGAGCACCCACCGGTTGGCGGTACTCCAGTGCCAGACCGCATGCTCAAGCAATGCGATTCAGCCGTCCAAGCAGCCTGACAGTCCATGACCCCTGCCCCACTTCAAGACAAGCTCAATTCTGCTACCCCGAAGTAGCCGCGTAACAGCAATGGCTTTGGCCAGGGCTCGGGCACCATGGGGCGAAGCACCTTGACATAGCGAGCCTAGCAAGCTTTGCTAACATTGCTAGGTAGCTAGATCCCATTTCTGAACTGGATGGAAAAATAGTCTTCCATGAACCGCGTGCGCTTAAGCAATCAACACTATCGTGTCTCTTTGGGTGTCTGTTCCGAGGCAGTCACATGGTGAGATGGGTAGGGGTACGCGACCTTGCTGTCAGCTATGCATCTGTGCGCAGAAGGGACGCAGTTGTCCATGCTGAACCCCAGCCACAGAGTGCCAGGCCACATAGTGCGCAGCAACCTGCAACGTGAATCTATGCTGAGGTGCCATCCACAATCTGATCACACGCTTGAATCAGCAAAGCCTTGTAGTGTGCCTGGACAAGGGCTGTGTGCTGCAAGCATGCACGAGTAAGAGCCGCACACCACCGGACGAGCTCACAATGCAGGGCGTAGGAGAATTGGAGACCTTGGCCAAGCTTTGCGAATTCAATGCACCAGATGGAGGCCGTGGATTTATGAGGTCATGACCGCAACCCTTGCGAAAGATGGCCCCCACACCTCAAACGCACGGTGGAGCTATATTGCTTTGCTACAGTGTTTGGGACCTATGCGTGGTGTGCCTGGGGGTCCCGGATAATGTCCTGTGGACTGGCCCCTGTGCGGGCCGACCCAGGGCGTGTGACCTTCGCACTTTTGGTGTTGGCGTTGGGACTTTGGCTAGATGGCGGGACAAGGGCACCGGCGCTTGCCCTTGTTGATGATGGCGTAGACACCTCGGCTTCTTTTATCTGTACGAATGCATGCTCCAGGTCATGTGCCTAGCAAGCTTCCTTAGCCACAAGCTCCAACTCTGCCGGATGTTGGAGGCGACATCTCAGCAGTGCCGCCAGGTCAGGTTGTGAACGGTGTTGAAGTCACTGCTACACGCGCTACGGGTCTCGCCTGGATGTCCCGAACGACATCACTGCCGCTGCCCTGAACAGAGAGACGCCGTGTAAACCAGGCTGAAACCGGACGACTCCAGAAAATGGGACTTCCAGAGACGATTTTGTGCCTGAGTACCACGGAGTGAGCTTGGGCGTGTTACCTGAGTTCAGCTTTGTCTCACTTTAATCCGCAAACACCGCATGGATCAGTCATCAGCTTCCGACCCCCGTGCGGCCGGAAGTTGCAGGTGTCGAGACCTGTAGGAATCCAGATTGCTCTGCGGCAGGCTGCCTGAAGATCTCTTTGGACATCCTGTGGGCTGGCCTTAGGTGGCACACCACGACCACCCCCCCTCCGCTCCGCAAAAAACCCTACTGCAAGGTGCCGACTCCGGTTCACGCTGAGCCAGGCCTTGCAACCTGAGAACACTCCGAACAGCAA